CGAAAGACGGCCTCCTGGAACTTGAGTGATGAGGTAACCCCAGAAGAAGTAGCCCAAAATGTCGTTCTTGGCTTCTTCGTCCCAGTTGTAACGAGAACCGTGAGATTCAAGCGAAGTGTTAAAGTCGTTTCTAACCACCATTTCGACGATGGCTATGGAAATGTTGATTCGAATCATGTGGTGAATCATGAATCCCATGACGACCATTAGCGACAAAACACGCTGACATGTTAGAATCTCTAAAGACGAAATTGAACGAAGAAATAGTGTAATATGTGGAGCTACCTGAGTTTTTTGCCATAATTTGAGTTTGTTCAAGATTTTTTCACATCTTATTTTTTATTGAGCAAAAATTACTGCCACAAACGGGTGTTAGGCACGACACTGTCAACGACTTGATCTCTTTTGAATTAGTTTTTCATTGTTGTAGACTAAATAGTGACGCAGATGAATAGTTTGACGACGATTATCATATTGTGCATGCAAGATTATTGAACAAGTAGGAGTATGAATAAGTTACCTAAATTTTTCGCTATGTCCTTTGAAGGGTTGAATTTTTTATTGAACAATTTTTCTGTTATTTAACATAAGTTTATATCTTTTACATTTGTTTATTTTCATGTTTGTATTACGTAATTTTATGTCTTAGAGACCTAACATTGTCAGCACTTAATCCCTTTTAAATTATTGTTTTATTTGTTGTATAATACGCAAACCGTTTGTAATATTTCTTTGAAATATCTCTGTGTTTGTAAATTGTGCAATTTCTAACACAATTTTATCACAACACCGACAAGACAAATAACTTAAATTTCGCACGCTTGCGTGGAAACAGAAAACTATTTTTAAAATTAATCTATTTTGCAGCAACTTTTTTGGGGAATTAAAACAGAAAAGGTGTATCGAACACTCATTTTTATTGTTAAAAACTAGTTATAATTTTTTACTTTGTTGGGTTGAACATGTTGTAAAACAGCCCACTTGTATCTTTCAACAGCTTTTGGAATCGGTCAAATTCTGCAACATTTCCTCTATCTATGACCATAATTTTGTCACATTCTTGAACAAAACGCAACTTGTGGGTGATCATAATCACAGTACACGAATCAAAATTTTCTTGAATAATTCTATGAATCGTATCTTCGGTTTCAGAGTCAACATTTGCTGTAACTTCATCAAAAACAGCAATTTTGTTTTTCCGAATAATGCCTCTAGCCAGGCAAATCAACTGTTGTTGGCCTACACTCAGTTCTGCATCGCTGTTGCTAATTTTATCTTCTAGGGTAGAAAAGCGATTTTTTAAGCCAACTTTTGCCATCACCTCCCAAATTTCATCATCGGAATAAATTCCGTTGAGATCAATGTTTTCTCGAATTGTGCCAGTGAATAAAAATGGGTCTTGAGGCACCACTAGGATGTTTTCTCTGAGAAGATCCAACAGAAGGGTTGCAATATCAACATCATCGATGAATATTTTTCCCTCAGTCTTGTAGAGTCGCAAAAGTGTTGAAATGAGAGACGTTTTTCCAGCTCCCGTCCGTCCAACAACAGCAATTTTTTCGTTCGAATTGATCGTGAAATTTAAATTATGTAAAATATGTTTAGTGTCATAAGCAAAGTTAACGTTTTCGTATTTGATTTGTCCAAATTTTGGCCACTTTTCCACCGCCATTCCTTGTTTATTTTCTTGTTTTTGTTTCGTGTATTCGATGATTCGCTCCACTGCTGTCATCTCATTGTCAAGCTTTGCGAATTTGCGAAAAGCAGTTTCTTTAGTTCTTATAAAAAGTATAGCTTGCGTGATTACGAGTCCGACATTTCCAATATCGGCATCTTCAAAGTTTTTATAAATAATGAAATTTTTACTAAAAAAATACAAACCATTGTCTATAAAGAGGAAATATACAACAATAAAAGCTAAAAATAGGCTACTGTAAATATGGACGACAAATCCGAAAGCTCTGAAACAACACATGTAGACGATGGAAGCAGACGTGTACAAATCCTGATGTCGATCGAATTCTTTTTGAAGAATATCTTCAACTTGTGCTACTTTTACGGTTGATAGTCCTTCAAAAGTCGCATTTATGTGACCGATTAGAGGACTATGGGCTAAAATTTAAACCAAGTCATTTAAAAATTGAATTACAAAAATATATTACTTGAAATTTCCACCCGTTTTAGTGTGTTTGTAACTTTTAAGTAAAATAGAGTCGTTAGAAAAAGTGCTACAACGAAGATAACGGAGCAAATAAGAAACGTAACATTAACAGTTGTCATTAAAATTGCTATTCCAATTATTTCTATAAAACCCTAAAATTGTATGAAAGTAGATATTGAAAAACAAGACTAGAAACGTGAGTACTTCAAAAATAAAAAACCACGAGTATGTTACTCTTTCGTCAAGGTAGAGCAAATCTTCTGAAAATCTGTTTAAAATATTCCCCACAAATCTACTATCAAAAAATTCCATTGAAGCGTTTGTGATTTTCGTAAACATGAAATTGTGGAAATTGATTGATGCTTTTCTAGCCATTAAAAAACACATTACTGCAGTTTTGGTTATTATTAGAACTGCCATTACAGCTGTGCAAATCGGAAATAGATAAAACATACTAGAACGAGTTTCTAAAGCCTTGTCATAATTGCTGTTCTTAGTCATATTTTTATCAACAAAATTGATAATATTTTGTTCTGTTGATATCCTAAAAATAAGGTAAACTTCCCTCCGTCACAATTTAAAACCTCACCATTTACTTTGCAATTTATCCGTTAAACTCTTCACAAACTGATTTGTGCCAAATGTTAGAACAATTAGGAAAATAACAAAAAACCCACCTCCAAATTTAAAGTAACATTTGTACGTTTCATAGTTAAAAACTTTGGATTTCTCTTCTTCTTTGTAAATATCGTGTTCAATTTTTGTCTTAACAAGACTCGAAGTTTCATTGTAATCGTTTATCTCGTCAAGACTTGAAGAATTATCATTGAAAGTGATATTTTCTCGAATATGACATTTATCATGTCTTGTAGAATTTTTAGTCAATTCAGCCGTTTTATGTTTTAAAATAATGATATTATCAGCTCTCGCTAAATGCTCCTGATTTTGCGTCACCAGAACCACGAGTTTATCTTTAAGAAACTTTCTCAAACACTCTTCAAATATAAAGTTTCCTACAAGGACATCTAAGTGAGCTAAACAGTCATCTAGTAGATAAATGTCGCAGTCCTTATAAACAGCTCTTGCTAGGTTGATCCTGGCTTGTTGTCCTTTGCTTAAATTGGCTCCTTGATCGGCAACTATTGTTGAATCTCCTTTCTCCAGACGATTCAAATCTGTTAAGAGATCACAAACTTGGAGGACTTCCAAATACCGGTTTTTGTCATAGCTTGACCCGAACAAAATGTTGTGTTTGATCGTAGAAGGGAAAAGAAACGGTTTCTGGGAAGCGTAAGAAATACGTCCTGTTATTTTCAAATTGCCTTGACTCAGCTCATTTTCTTGAATGAAAATTTTCAAAAGCAAGCTTTTCCCACTTCCGACATTGCCACTGATCACTGTTAGTCCTTTACTAATCTTGAAATTCAAATTTTTAAGTGTTTTCCCTTCACTTCCATTTGTCACAACAATTTCAGGCGAAGCATTCTCTTCGTTAATTTTTCGAGGGAAAGAGTGTGAATTTGCTTCAATCAAAAATTTTTTTATTCTTTTAATAACAGTGATTAATTTTGCACTTTCGTGAAAGCCTTTTGGGATGTTATGTTTTAAGTCACGAGACACCGATTCTAAACAGTTGATAATGAGAAATAAAGTTCCAGCATTTATTTGGTCACCAAGATGGATTGAACTGACAATCAACATGTACCAAATTGTGTTTAATAATGTTTGGGAAACGGCGAATTTGGTAAAAAGTAATATAAAGATTTTGTTAATGAGATTGACTTCATCTCTAAAACAAAAATGTGTTGTTGAAAATAAATGAAAGTAGGCTTACCTTCTGATTTTTGACACTTTTTTTTCAAAGGTTTTCTCACAGTTGTAAAATTTTACAATTTTGAGGGCGTTTAACACCTCTTTAGTTGTTTGATACCGTTCATCGGTCTTTTTCAAGGTTTTAAGCTTCAATTTTGTTACTAATAATGCCAAAAATGCTGTAAAAATAATTATAGATGCTGTTTATTTCTTTTATTGTTTTTAATTACCTTGTATTAGAAAAATTCCAACAAAGACTCCAATGAGAATGATAACCAACCATCCAACTTCAAAATAAATCAATAAACTTACCGTTACTAGACGTATGAAAGCTTCAATCATGTAAGAAGTATAATTTAATGAAGTTTCAAATTCACTAACATCTCTCGTTATCAATGTTAGTATTTTACCAATTGACACATCATTGAGCGAATTATTTATTCTTAAAACTTTTCTATAAATGATTGAAGTGAAAGCTGCTCGTAATTTAATAGCAAACATTGATAATCGTGTTTGATAATTATCTTCGAATACAAATGTGACAAACATTAAAAGCACTAGGGAGAATCCATAGAAGTACCCGTCTGATTTAGAAAGATTGCTATCTTTGGCAAAATATGACACAAATTGTTTCAAAGTTTTTGGTAGCAATATGCTGTAAGAAAAAATTAAACTTCTCTTTTAAAGTATGATCGAAAATTACGTTTTTGTTATTAGAAATACTTGGGATAAAATCAAGAGGCAGTAATGAAAGCCGAAACATTTCAACAACAAACATGTTATCGAATAATTTTTTTGTTTCCTCCACTGTTTTTCTAAATTGTTGCCTAGTTTGTCAGATTTATAGGAGGAAAATACTTCATAAATGTCTCCTTCGTCCAAGGGTTTTTTAAACCCTTTAACAAATATCTCTCTCGTGTAACTAAAATGTGCAAATATTTTGTAAACAGTCAAAAAGAGTATTTTATTTACGTGAAGAATAAGTTTACAACAAAATTATTTTTTTCTAATGGGTTAATTTTTCTTTGCTTTTTTTCTTCTAAATAGTTCATTATTATATAAATAGCTAACAAAATTGTGTTACTTATGTGAGACGTGGGGTTATATAAACTGGTCTGTCTAAAAAAGTAATAGTTAAAAGAATATAAAAAACATTTACTATCAATTTCCATTTCATTATAACAAGGTGAACTGTAAATGAGTTGATAGTGTTCAGAATTTTTGTTTTATTTGTAGGTAAACAGTTTTACAATTTATGTTAAAAGTGTAAAGTTTTAGTATTGAAACATGGAGCAAAACTGAGTGCTGTAAAAATATCTAACACACAAGTAACAAAATGGTTTGGTTGAGGACAATTCTTCGATTAATTCATATTTAGATTTGTCAACACTCAATAATACGACTAGTCTATGTGTTTACTATCTTCTCTTGGTATTAATAATGAACTTAATTTACCATGAAAAATATTTTCTTTTTCTGGGTGTCTGAAAGCTTACCATTTTCGTGTTATTTTCCTACACGGTATGCGATAAACTTTACGTGTCTTGCAAAAATCAGATATCGTAGCTGTTAAAGATTTGTAAAACTATGTCAATTATAGTTGTTGAGGTCAAAAGTATTTTTAGATGACTGCTTAATAGGTATTAGGTATTTTAACACTTTTTGATAAATTTCATTTAATTCTACTTTTACTTGATTTTTATTTTTTAAATTCGATAATAGTGCAAAATGAAGGGAAACTTGGTACTTTGACTAGGAATTCTAGTTATAGTTTTTTTGTATTTTTTAATGTATTGTTTGCGAATTTGTTGATCAAAAGGTTCTAATCTTATACTCAATACTATATTGTAGGAAATTAATTAATCATTTATTTAATCATATTAATCATATTTTGTAATTTTATTTTTAATTTATGTTTGAGTCAAATTTGCTTCAGTTTTGTTACATTTATGTAAGTATATTGTTTAACTTTGTATTTAATTACGTACTTTACAAAATAAATAGTTTATTTATAATGTAAATGTTCATTTTTTCATGAAAGTGAAGGTTGTTTCAGTCGTCATATCTAATCTAACATCTACAATAATGACAAAGAATATAAAACTGTCGCAAAACAATTAGAGAAAAAATAATTTTTCCATTTCACAGATTTTTTTCAAATATGTGTTTCAATATTATATTTGCAAAAATTTTAAAGTAAGTACCTAATTACCTCATTTAAGTGGGTACTAAAGAATTCCTTCATGTTTAAAACATTAGTGTTTGACTCTATTAAAAAAATACCACCAAAATAGTTAATTTTTACGATTTGAGAAGAGTTATTTATTCGACGAGTTTGAGTGTAAATCGGACTCTTTATTTGACCGAGTGGATTTTTAAACCACGAGTGGTTTACCATCCACGAGGTGGAATAAAGCGTCCGATTTACACTCAAACGAGTGGAATACAACATTTTATTCTTCGAATTAGAGTCAACAAGGCTTAAACTTGCTTTAAATATGTTAAAAATAATTTGACGTTTTGTATTGAGAAATGCCAAACAGTTGTCAAAACTTCCTTACACGGGAGAAAAACCGTGAATTTTGACAGTGTCGAAGAATAAAAATATTTAAGTGGTTATATAAAAAAAATTAAAACCGTATTTACAGTTTTTAAATAAAAAATAATCCTTTTTCAGGCACTTCATTAAAACTTTTATGGTAAATTAAATTTGACAACTTTGTTAATATATTTTTTAGTAGTTTAGTAATGTTAATTTTTTTTAGTCTGCTTTTAAGACTGCTTTTAAGACTGCTAATGGATGAATTAGTGATCAGGATTAAAAAAAAATTTGAGGGCTTGAAATTTTTTATGATCGGAGATAGAAACGGCGATATATTTTAACATAACTTTGTATATTTAAACAGAAATAGAGCAGATAATATTGTGTTTACAGGTAAAGTGATTGACACATAATAAAGGTCACTGACATGTTTATCTTTTTTATTTATTTCTAATACAAAAATGCATTTATAATCAGTTTTCTACAACAAAAGTGTCACTTTTATTGTGGATATTTTTGGAATAAAACAACAATTTGCTACACACTTTTTATTATTTGTTACTTCTGTGGCAGTAATCCTGCTTTTTCCACCATTTTGTAAAAGATGCCATCTTTATTCTCCAACAAATTCGTCGGTTCGTCAAACTCAACAATTTCGCCTTTGTCCATAACCATAACTTTGTCACTTCGCAAAATCGACTGCAACTTGTGAGCGATTGTGAAAACCGTACACTCTTTGAAACTCTCCTCCATGGTTTTGTGGATCAACGCGTCCGTTTCTGGATCCATATTAGCCGTGGCTTCGTCCATGACGATGATTTTGTTCTTCTGGATGACAGCTCTGGCGAGACAAATCAACTGTCTTTGTCCTATACTGAAATTCGAGCCTCCTTCAACGATCTCAAAGTCTAGACTTGGGATGAGCTTCTTCAAATGGGCCGTTTCGATCGCTTTCCAGATTTCCTCGTCGTTGTATCTCTGGATAGGGTCTATGTTCTCCCGGATTGTTCCCGTGAAAAGAACGGGGTCTTGAGGGATGATGGAAATGTTGGCTCTGAGGCAGTCAAGGGAGACGGTTTTAGTGTCCACACCATCGATCAGAATTTTCCCCTCGACTTCGTATAAGCGGAATAAAGTGGAAATAATCGACGATTTTCCAGCCCCGGTTCTCCCAACAATCCCAATCTTCTCTTTGGGATTCACCGTGAAGTTGATATTTTTCAAGACTTGCTCGTTTGAATTCGTATAAGTCAAACAGACATTCTCATATTTGACCATTCCCACACTTGGCCAATTATCCAATTCTAGGCCTTGTTTGTTTTCTTGTTTAATTGCAGTATACTCCAAGACTCTTTCCACTGAAGTCATTCTGTTTTCCATTTCGGCCCATTGACGAATTCCCCATTGCAGAGTCCCAGTGAGGTTAAAAGCTTGCGATATGGCGAGACCAACATGACCGGCCAAAACATCTAAAAAAACGAATTATTTCAAATTTTTCTTTTAAATTGACATACCATCATCGGTAAATAAAAATTTGACAACAATAAACGAAATGTAGAAACTGCACAAAGTGTCCATTGTGAATGCAAACGCCCTCATACTGCTTTGGAGAATATAAGAAGCAGAAGTGTAGAGATCCTGGTGACGGTCAAACTCATCTCTGAGAATTTCTTCAGCTTGGAAAGCTCGGATTGTGGTCAAACCTTCAAGGGAAGCGTTTAAATGACCAACAACTGGACTTCGAGCTGCAAAAATTTTGTTACATTCAATAAAATCAATTTTTTTCGTAATTACTTAAAGCATCCAATCGTTTAAGACTCCTCGAAGTTCGAAGACAAAATCTTCTCAATACTAGTAATATCAGAAGAAAGATGGCAGTGGGGATCAAAAACATGGGGTTAACACCTGCTATCAATGCTACAATCCCAATTATGACCAAAAGGACCTAAAATTAAAGTTGTAGCAAAACTCAAGTTTTGTCAATCAAATCGTACTCTGAAGACGTGGTAAAATGCGAATAGAATAGATTCGTCGACGGTGATCAAATCTTTCGAAAATCGGTTTAAGATATTTCCAATGAAATTCGTATCGAAGAACTGCATTGAGGCATTGATAATAGTCGAAATCATATTTTTATGCAGCTTTAGGGCTGCACTTCGTGAAAACCACAAAAGTCCAATTGCTCGACTCAAACTAGTAACCCCAGTAGCTATGGTCATAAATGTGTACATATAGAAAATATAATTCTTCTTATTGTAGAGTTCCACTTGTTCGGTTGCATTGGTGGCATTTTGGATAGTAAAATTGGAAATTTTTTGTTCCAAATTGACCCTAAATTTTTTTGTCAGTCTTTTTTATTTTCCGTTTTTTTACTTACCAGTCACTCACTAACTTGTCAGTATAGCTCATGGTAACCTGTGCCGACACAAAAATACAAAAAACGAGAAACAAAACGAAGTAACCACCACCATATTTGATATACTTGTTGTAGACAGCGGTTTTGACAGCACCAGATTGCTTTTGTTCTTGGTAAACTTTTCTTTGAACAGGTGCTTCAGTGATTAGTTTGGTTTCTTCAGTTGCTGCTTCTTCTTCAGCCGTTTCGTCATCACACACTTCGTTTTCCGTTTTTTCTTCGACGGTTTCCAACAGTTCGTTGGTGTTAAGATCGGATGGTTTTCCACTTTGTTTGATTTGTCCGTTTTTCATAACAATGACAGCATCGCTGTCTTTGACATAGTCGACGTTGTGACTGACCAAAAGCACTAATTTGTCTTTGAGGAACCCCAAAATGCACTCTTTGAAGATGAAAGAGCTTACATGGGCGTCCAAAGCGGCCAAAGAGTCGTCGAGGAGGTAAATATCGCTTTCTTTGTAAACAGCTCGGGCTAGGTTAATGCGAGCTTGTTGTCCTTTACTCAGATTTATTCCACGATCTTCGACGATGGTGTCATCACCGGCTTCGAGTAATTCGAAATCGTAGATTAAAGCACAAACTTTCAGTACTTCGTTGTAGCGTTTTTCGTTGTATTTTTGGCCAAATAAAATGTTTTGTTTGATAGAAGAGGGGAAAAGCCATGGTTCTTGAGAGGCATAAGACACGGTCCCTTGAACCATCAAATTTCCTTCTTCAGGTTGGTAGTCTTGCAGTATGGTCTTCAGAAGGAATGATTTGCCACTTCCTACAGGACCAGTCAGCAGAGATAATCCTTTTTCAACATTCAGAGTAATGTTTTGAAGAATTTTAGCATCACGTATTGACACAGTCACATTCTTCATGTTAATTTTGGGCAAAATTGTGATTTCAGTGTTGGGTATTTTATCTGATTGAATTTCTGCTGCTTTCATTATTTGACCAATCCTCTTGATTGATGATTTAAGTTCAGCGGTTTGGTACACACCAATCGGGAAAAGGATAGCCAAGCCATAGGACAAATTTTGAAACGTCCCCATGATAAAATAGACTATTTCTGCAGTTATGGCATGACCACACCAGATATAAGTCATCAGAATTAAATAAAAAGCTATGTGGGAGTTCAAACTCCCAATCACTATGATCAAAAATCTTACAAAAAAGATCTTGTAAGTCGTGTAGACTTCTTTCCTGGAAAAAACTACTTGTATTGAGGCAAAACCAAGACGAAGCTTACTTTCTAGCTTGGGAAATTTTGCGGTCAAAAATCTTTTCCCAAGTGTACATTTTGATAATCCTAATTGCTGATAGAGTTTCTTGTGTCATTTGTAGCCTTTCGTCGGTTTTTTTACACATATTCATCTTCATGGCAGTGATTTTTGAGCCGAGCCATACTGGATAAAACATTAGGACAAGTTAATAAAATCAAAATTTTTACCTTGTAAAGGCAAGACTAGGAGGAAAAACCCGACACCGGAGAAAGCCGACCATCCAATCCTGATGTAGAAAATCACACTAACCACAATCGTTTTGACGATTCCGATCCAAATGTCGTTTCCGAAATCGATGAAGAGTTCAAAAGTGTCAACATCTTTGGTTATCAGAGTGACAATTTTCCCGATTGAGATATCCTCCATGTGTGCAGGACTCAGTTTTAGGGCTTTTCTGTACATAAAGGAGCAGAAAGCGGCCCGAGTTTTGATACCAAAACCGGCTAGTAGAAGGTAATAGTTGTGTTTATACACCCGTTGGAAGAAATTTAAACCAATGACTATTCCAGCATAGTAATAGGCGTCTGTTTTAGTGAGTTCGGTTTGGTCTGGCGAGAAATACAAAACTAGTTTGCCCAAAGCATACGGCTGGACTATTCTAGAACAAGGGCGGTAAAAATTTAAAGACTGAAAGTGTCGACTTACATTTCTACTACGTTGATGAACAGTTGCATAAAACCTAGAAGAAGGTATGGAATTCCGTAGCAACTTAAAAGCAAGCGAACTATCGATAAATTTTTCCGTCTCTTCTTCTGTTTCTCCCATTCTAGTTCGAGTTGGTCTCCTAGTTTTTTTGATTTGTAGTTTGAAAGGACGTCGTATAGGTCGCTCTCTTCCAAGTCCCTTGTGAACCCTTTTTTGAAAAGTTTGATGGCGTAACTGAAATTTACAAATGAGTGAAGAATTTCTACTTGAGGTGTTTTTGTACACAAAAAATATGTTGGAAATAAAGTTGGTTCTTTCCTTTGGGTGGGTTTTCCGCTGCTGTTTTTCTCCGTGATCCATTTTGAAACTCGAACTTAATACTAAAAGAAAGAATAGTAGGTCTTTCGGAATTTTATAGACTTGTACTAAAGCAAAGTAAATAAGTATTAACAAATCAAACATAGTGTTTTCCCATGAACCCATTTATTGTTATCTGATTTTTTAAGATTTTTTTCTCAATTGGTTACTGGCTTCTTGTGCCAGATACTTCCGAGAAGTTATTTGCATGAGTCACTAATTGGAATATTTGATTAAAATAATTTTCCTCGATTCGATATCAACTTTATTATTGAAAATAAATCATAGAGCTAATTGGTCTATCATTATTTAAACAATGACTTTGTGACGGTAAAGAATAGTTTTTTTTTCTTAATCTTAATACAACTGGAGATAAAACGGCTACAAATAGAAACTGGCTCCAAGCTAGTTGCAACTTATTGTTCATTGTTTTAAATTAAACACACATTTGACAGAATTTACGCAAATACTGACTGATGCAATCATCGTTATTTTAGTAACTTTCATGCTCCTTCATTCAGAAATTTTTGTAATAGACTTACAATTTTAAAAATTACGACACTACCCAATATTTTTGTCTATAAACTTCAGTCATTGTCACCGCTCATATTTAAGAATTTTTGAGACGTAACTCTCCTTCCTGGAACTCTTTAACTAGTTTAATCGAATAATTTACTGAAAGTAAGCAAGTTTACTAATCGACGATTATAAAATTAGGAACAATTGTATAATCATGACTGTAAATTAAGGAAAAGGTAAGAGGAATCTCAACACGAGCTTTTGTAGACTCACGAATTAATTTTAGTTTCTCTGGTTTCTAGTACTGTTTTTATTATGAACAAAGAATGAAAAAATAACATAATTTTTGTTAATATTAACATATTTTTTCCTGTTTAGTTGAGAGAAAAATATGGATTAATCCCAAACCTCAGTGCCCCAATAATAATTAACAAAGTGTTTTATTTATTTTCATATTTATTAGCGCATTCATAAACAATAAGACCGCTCACTGATAATGCTTTCTTTATCATTAGCTACCATAAATAAAAAAAATATTTTAAGATAATGGAAAAATTAAAACCAAGAACTATCAACTACAAGGTGATAAGTATTAACTTGTGCTTAAATAAAGTTAGTTTTTTTTTCATAATTACAATTAGCCATAAATTGGAATTTTTTAAATAAAGCAAACAAAAATTGCTCCAAGTTTCTTTGTAACATTTTATTAGTAGCGCTAGAACTCGCGCCCCAGAGAAGATAAGACACCAGGAACATGGAAAAAATGTTTAAAAAATTCTATCTGTCAAAAAAGTTTGACATTTTTTTATTTCTATATAATGATATTGATGAACTTGTATATGTTTTTTTTTTATAATTATTTACTAAAAGTAGGTACAAAAATTTGCTAATAAAAGCCACAAATAACATTAAACAGAGTTACAATTTAGCATACAGCTTCCTTGATTCCTCTTCTAATAAACTGTAGCAAAAAACTTTAAAAACTATTTTTCCAACAGAAATAAATAGAGCCAAAGTGCAAAATTTAAAATCACAAAACTCATTTTCGTATTAATGTGCATCGAAGTAGTCGTTGAAAGGGATCATTTTAAGGTGACAACCATGCGAAAATTCAAACAATCCTAAACTCAATTTTTCCTAAAAATTATTTTTTCAAATAAATATGTACCTTATGTAGCAAAAAATAGTAACAACATAATCAACATAGGATAGCAAACATAAAGATTTTTTTCATTATTGATGTGACTAAATTGGTTTTGAATGACATTAGTGACACTTATTGTGTAAGTCGGACTTTAAATTAAAGATTCCATTTAGACTTCTACAACCACATATTAATATGAAAAAGAGTATAGAATTTTTTTAACATTTTTTCCATGTTCTTACTTCACAAGACATTTTTTTCTGGGGCGCGAGTTCTAGCGCAGCGTATAAATCAAAGACTTTATCAACCATCTCTTGATTTTTTTTTTTAATTTTGAATTTGTTTAATGTATATGGATATATTTTTTAAATGATTTATTACTTTACAGTAGTTGTACCTTAAAAGTGTATTGTATTTTCTATTGTTGAGTTGGTAATTATAATATTAATAATAATATTGCATGATAAAAAAACACTTTATTTAAACTTAGATAACAATGAAACATTTTTACAATACACATGCATATATCTTTTTTGGTGCTTTGCTCTTATTTCTGTTACTTCTAAAATGACAGTTTGTGAAAATTCGTATTTGACTTCCGTAACGCACCGTAATTGATAAATATCAGTAGATAATAATATTACGATAAATTTGAGGGTAATAATCCAGACTTTTTCACCAATTTGTAAAAAACGCCTTCCGTATTTTGCATCAAACTTAGTGGATCATCGTATTCAATAATCTCCCCTTTATCCATGACAATAATTTTGTCAGAATTCAGTATCGAGTGAATCTTGTGCGCTATTGTAAAAACAGTACAAGAAGAAAAGTTCTCATGTATGGTTTGATGTATCAAAGCATCAGTTTCAGGATCCATGTTAGCTGTTGCTTCGTCCAATACGATAATTTTATTATTTCGAACGAGTGCTCTAGCTAAACAAACCAACTGTCTTTGGCCAACACTAAAGTTCGAACTATTTTCAGCGATTTCGTAATCTAAACTTGGAACAAGTTTCTTCAAATGCGCCGTTTCAATCGCCTTCCAAATATCTTCATCTGAGTAAATTCCTTCAGGATCGATATTTTCGCGAATTGTTCCCGAAAACAGGACGGGATCTTGCGGAATAATAGAAACATGTTTCCTCAAGAAGTCCAAAGCTAGGGTTTTTGTATCAACACCGTCGATTGTGATTTTCCCGTCGACTTCGTACAACCGGAAAAGTGTTGATATTATCGAGGATTTTCCAGCACCAGTTCGTCCAACAATTCCAATTTTTTCCTGTGGGTTTGCTGTAAAATTCACGTTTTTCAGGACATATTCGTCCGTGTTGTTATAAGACAAGTAAACTTTCTCGTATTTCACTTCTCCACTTTCAGGCCAGTTTTCTAGGACTTGTCCTTGTTTAGTTTCCTGTTTGACTTCAGTATATTCCAGGACTCGTTCAACTGAAGTCATTGAGTTTTCCATTTCGGACCAAATCCTTACTCCCCACTGCAGAGTTCCGGTCATTCTCAAAGCTTGGGATATAGCCAGGCCAACATCACCGGCTAGTATATCTGAAAGAAAAATGGTACAAAATATTGGAATCAATTGTAATAAATTACCATCGTCGAAAAAAATAAATTTTGAAATTATTGACGCAATAAAAATAACACATAGGATGTCCAAGAAAAAGGCGTAAGCTCTCATGGAGGAATAAGAGATATAAGACGCTGAAGTGTACAAATCTTGGTGACGGTCATACTCATGTCTTAGGATTTCTTCAGCTTTGAAAGCTCTGATTGTTGTTAGACCTTCAAGGGTTGCATTGAGATGACCAACCACGGGACTTCTAGCTAAAAATTAGAAGAATTAGAATTCTCTGTGTTTAATTATTATTGCGTATTACTTGTAGCATCCAATCTTTTTAAGCTTCGGGCTGTGCGAAGGTAATATGCACGAATCACCATCAATAATCCGAAGAAGAAAAAAGTTGGGATAAGGAAAAATGTGTTAACTGTTGCTATAAGTGTCATTATTCCAGTAATTACAAAAAAAGTCTGAAAAACTGATACAATTGGTGCAAAAATTAATTTGTCTTCTTACCCTAAAAACTTGGTGGTAAATGAAAGGAAGGTGTTCGTCTATGATTGTCAAATCTTTCGAAAATCTGTTTAAAATGTTACCAATGAAATTGGTATCAAAAAAAGACATTGTGGCATTGACCATATGCGTGATCATGTGTTTATGCAAATTTAGTGAAGCTTTTTTGATCACACTGTAGAATCCAAAGGATCGGCTCAGATTAAAAACTGTGCTTAAAATGATCATTGCTGTGAACATTTTTACAATGTAGTCGCGTTTTTCTATTGTTTCTTCTTCAGTTTCATTAGTGGTGTTAGTAATGTTGTAGAGGGTGAAATTGGCTAATTTTTGCTCAATGTTGACCCTAAAATAACGTTTCGGTTATTTTGCCCAAAAATTAAAGAAACCCACCATTTACTGACTAATTTGTCGGAATAACTTTGAACAAATTGCGAAATGCCATAAATAGCAATAACAAGAAGGAAAGCAAAAATGCCTCCTCCATAATGCAGATATTTCTTGTAAACTTCTAAATCAACGGCACCTTTCTTTTTAACTTCTTGATACACTTTTCGTTCTCTTGTCGTCTCAGTTATTAATTTACTTTCTTCATTTGATTCGTCTTCATTATCATCCTCGCACAATTCTTTTTCATCTTCCTCGCAGATTTCTTCCAAAATTTCTTTTTCTGAAATTTCGGTGGATTTGGCATGAGACAGGATAGCTCCATGTCGCATCACTATAACATTATCGACTTCTTTCAGATGACTCACATTATGGCTAACAAACACAACTAATTTGTTCTGGAGGAATTTTAAAATACATTCTTTGAAAATATAGTCGCTGACTTGACTATCAAGAGCTGATAAACAGTCATCGAGGAGGTAAATTTCACTTTCTCGGTAGACAGCACGAGCTAAATTGACTCGGGCTTGTTGTCCTTTGCTCAAGTTGTTACCACGATCTTCAACAATGGTATTATCGCCGTCTACCAACAACTCAAAGTCGTAAATCAAAGCACAAACTTTCAACACTTCTTGGTATCTAGCTTCGTCGTATTTTTCCCCAAATAAAATATTTTGTTTGATTGAAGACGGAAAAAGCCAAGGGTCTTGAGAAGCGTAAGAAATGCGTCCTTGGGTCACTACACTACCATTGGTAGGTTCGTATTCCCTTAGAATAGTTTTCAGGAGAAAGCTTTTGCCACTTCCAACAGGTCCTGTTATTAGAGTGACTCCTAAATCGATGTCTAGATCGATGGAATGAAGAATATGTGTGTCCTTGAAGATAACATCAAGATTTTTTAAAGTGATTTTAGGCTTGATGATTAGATTATTTTCGTCTGAAGCTTCTTGCAACTCCAGTGCTTTCAGCACGTTTCCAATTCTTTTAACAGAAGCTGTAGTTTCTGCTATTTGTGAAATAGCAGATGGGAAACGTATTCCTAATGTGTGTGTCAAAATGTGGAACAAGCTATCAATAAAGTAGACTATTTCAGCAGTTATGTGATTTCCCAACCATTTATAAGTCATAATGAGAAGGTAAAAAGCAATGTTTCCGTTCAAAACACCAATTTGTAACAAAAAAAACTTCAGGTAAAAAATTAGGTGCATACTCCTTATTTCTTTACTGAAAATTTAGACGTTAGAAGAAAAACTCTTAATTTCAAAAAGTGTTACATTCTGGTTTCGATGACCTTATTAGTAAAAAACTTCTCCCAAGTGTACATTTTAATAATCTTAATTGCTGATAGAGTTTCTTGAGTTGCTTGCAATCGCTCGTCGACTTTTTTGCACATTTTCATGCGTAATTTGGCTGCCCATGTCCCCATATAAACTAAAAAAAAAATAAAATTTATAAATTTTGATAGTTTGCTAACTTACTTTGTATGGGCAATATGATTAGGAAAAATCCAACTCCTGCAAAAGTAGCCAAATAAAGTTTCCTGTAAATGATGAACGAAACTATGATTGTTTTGAGAATTGCAATCCACAGGTCGTTGGCCAAATACGAAAATCGTTCTAAAGCGTGAACATCTTTGGTGATAAGGTTGATGATTTTTCCGACTGATATGTCTCCGAGTCTGGAAGGACTCAGTTTTAGGGCTTTTCGGTAGATAAAAGAGCAAAATGCTGTTCGAATCCGAACACCAAGTGTGGTGACGGCTAGATGGTAATTGTGGGAGTAAATGCAGTCGAATATATTGGAAACAACTAAAAGGCCAGCGTAAAAATATAGATCGTTTTTGGTCATTTCAGTTTGGTTTGGGTTAAAATAACTGATTATTTTACTCAAGGCATGAGGTTGAATGAATCTAGAATAAGAAATTATTTACAATATTTAGCAATTTCAGTCTCACATCATCAGTGTTTTAACTGCCAACTGTGACACCCCCAAGAAAAAAATTTCTTTCCCATAGCAAGCCCATAATAGTCGCAAAATTGAGTTTCTGTCCCGTTTTGATTTTTGTTTTTCCCATTCTCTTTCAAACTCATCTCCTAATCTATCAGATTTGTACTTGGGTAAAACCTCGTATAAGTCTTCCTCCTCCAACTCACGTTTAGCACCCTTCCTGAACAACTTTACTGTGTAACTAAAAAAAAATAATTATGTTTGTTACGACTGTAACAATCTCTTACAAAAATGTAATCAAAGAAACAACGTTTGCCTTAAGAATCGGGTGTGTTTCTTTTATTTGTTTTTTTATATGATCCATGGTGCTTCCTTCAACACGGCCACTGGATGTTCTTTAAAGCTTCTGCTTGCATGGAAATTTCTTGGGAGTTTTCTCAAACAAGACAAGGCCTTAAGGATTATTTACATTAATTAAATGACTTCGCAATCGCTTAGTTTAAATATTTATTATTTCCTTATAAGTAAACGTTGGCCATTGTTTTCTACCATTTATCGTCTTTAACTATTTTATAAAGTTGTGACTCTAAAAATAAAGTTTTATATTTATTGTTGATTTTGAATTTAACTCATTTGGTTTTCTCAATTTATGTGGCGTGATGCTGTGCAAAAAGCGCTCGTGAAATAATTTATAACCATCACATTATTTACTCACTTAATTCATAATAATCTCGTGGGTGTTTTAAATTGGGATAATTTACAATTTTTGAAATTCACAGTTTAAGAAAAATTATACAATATTACATTTTTTCTGCATAAATTATAAAAAATTAGAAAGTATGTAAGTATAAATGAGGAGGTGAGTAGATAAAGCTGTTATGTAAAATTTTTTTGAAAACTGGTATTTTCTTTTAAAATTTTTTTTATCGCAATATTTTTTTTTATTGAAAAAGACTTTTAAGTGTTGGTTTCTAATAGGAATGAAACTACCAAATGCTAAAGGCGTTATGTACAACTTGCATTGTTGAATAAAACAGTGGATTAAAATGTGTTAAAATATGTTTAAATAAATAAATAAATAAATAATCATAAATAATTGTTTAAAAAAAGCACAAATAACACTAGTTTTCTTAATTCAATTATTTTCCAACGTATTTTTGACAAAATTTTGCGAAAAATTTTATTGAAAAATGTTTTAAAACGCTCGAAAAGAGCATAAATTACGTCGTTTTTTTATTTAGTTTGGTATATGTATTAATTATGGTATGTTTTTTAGCAAAAATTAAAGAAAAAACCTTGTTTTAGACTTAAAAACGCAACTAAAGTTTTGAAAAAAGCAAAACTAACATCATTTTCGAATCAATAATGTGATTTTCGGCTTATTTTTGACAAAGTTTTGTGCTTTTGATTGAAAAATCTGCTAAGATGTTTGGAAAAGCAACCAGATGATTTTTCGACTCAAAAACATGCTTAAACTCTCCAAAGAAGCAAAAATTATTTTAGTTTCGTGATAGTTTGTTCATTTTTTATCTCATTTTCGACGAAAAAAAATAATTGCGATTCTGACTAAAAAAACGTCCTAAAACGGAAAAATGGTATTTTCGAACAAATTTTTTAGCACAAAATAACACCATTTTTGAGTAAATTTAGCGATTTGTGACGAAATGATTTTGTAAATTTTAATTGAAAAACGTGCTAAACGCCCAAAAAATCATACAAAAGGTGATTTTCAACCCAAATTGGTAATTTGTCAATATGTTTTAACAGAATCTTACAAAAAAACGTGATGTAAATAAGCAAAATTCATTATTTTTCTCTTAGTTTTGTGACTTTTTGATGTATTTATGTCTAAACTTTTCGAGATAATTCCGTCTCTTATTGAAAAATATGGTGTTAATATGGAAAACCGTTTTCGAAAAGTCGATAAACTAGCTTCAAAATTACACCTAGTAAACAAGAAAAAAAATCTTTTAAATCTTAATTTTCGGGACAGCATAATGTTATGCAAAATGTGATAAATAGTGGTTTACAGTATTTTTCATGTCAATTATTATTGAAGTAGTAATTACTTTTTGAAAAAAAGAAGTAAGGTTAGGTGTTATCAGCCGGGGCGACTTGGACCAAACACCCTGTATGGACAGGTAGGTAGTATCATAACTAGTAGTATATCAAATAAATAATAATTTCTTTTATTTAATTCTTAATTTAAGAAATGACTCTATGCGTCAGCTGTTGGCAACAACCCTGATTTTTTGACCATATTATAAAACACCCCTTGTGTGTTTTGCAACAAACTATTGGGATCATCACACTCGATAATCTGTCCTTTATCCATAACAATCACTTTATCTGAATTTATAATCGTATGCAATTTGTGCGCTATGGTGAAAACAGTACAAGAGGCAAAGTTCTCATGTATCGTTTGATATATCAAAGCATCCGTTTCTTTATCCATATTAGCTGTAGCTTCATCCAGGACGATAATTCTGTTATTACGGACGACAGCTCTAGCCAAACAAATTAACTGTCTTTGGCCAACACTAAAGTTGGAACCATTTTCCGTAATTTCGTAATCTAAGCTAGGAACCAGGTGTCTTAAATTGGCCGTTTCTATAGCTTTCCAAATTTGGTCGTCTGTGTATATCCCTTCAGGATCAATATTATCGCGGATTCTTCCAGAGAAGAGGACTGGGTCTTGGGGGATAATCGAAATGTTTCTCCTCAAGTAATCCAAAGACAGGGTTTTGGTATCAACTCCATCAATCGTGATTTTTCCTTTGACTTCGTACAGTCTGAACAAGGTAGAGATGATTGACGATTTCCCAGCACCAGTTCTCCCAACAATTCCGATCTTTTCCCTCGGGTTTGCAGTGAAATTAATGTCTTTTAAGACATACTCGTCGGAGTTATTGTACGACAAGTAGACATTTTCGTATCTGACTTCTCCTTTAGTTGGCCAATATTCCAGTGTTTGTCCTTTGTTGTTCTCCTGTTTGACTTCAGTATATTCAAGGACGCGTTCAACAGAAGTCATCGAATTTTCAATTTCGGCCCATTGGCGGATTCCCCATTGCAGAGTTCCCGTCATTCTGAAGGCTTGAGTGATGGCAAGACCAACATCTCCGGCTTCTGTCACTAAAAATGATCAACATTATTTTGGTAATTTAGTTACGAAGACTTACCATCGTCAAAAATTACAAATCTCAGAATCACCGATGCTATAAAAATTGTATTGAAAGTATCCAAACAATACGCAAAAGCCCTCATACTGCACTGGAAATTGTACGAAGCAGAAGTGTAAAGGTCTTGATGTCTGTCATATTCGTCTCGCAGTATTTGCTCAGCTTTGAAAGCTCTGATTGTTGTTAAACCTTCAAGGGTTGCGTTCAAGTGACCAACAACTGGACTTCGCGCTTCAAATTGTTATTTTTATTACGGGAAAATTGTAAAATAGTTTCACTCACTAGCAGCATCCAAACGTTTGAGACTTCGTCCTGTTGGGAGATAGTATCGTCTAATGACAACTAAAATACACAAGAATGCGAAAGTCGGAATTAGAAAAGATTTTATGACTGTGTATATTAGTACCAAAACACCAATTATAACAAGGAAAGCCTGAAAAAAATAATTAGTAAAAATCCAAGATTTTGCAACACTTACTCTAAACACTTGGTAAATCACAAATGGTAGATGTTCGTCAATCAAGGATAAATCCTTCGAAAACCGGTTCAAAATATTCCCGATAAAATTAGTATCAAAGAAATGCATGGTAGCTTTGATAATATGATCAATCATGTATTTGTGCAACTTGATGGAGGCTCTTTTCGCAACAGCAAAAAGTGCCAAAATTCGACCAAGCTCAAAAGCTACAGTCAAAGCCGTCATTGCACTGAAAAGGTGTTGAGTAAAATCACGATGACTCATTATCGTCTCCTTCTGTATTTCTGTCAGATTCGTAATATTACTAAAAGTGAAATTTGAAATTTTCGTCTCGAGATTGACCCTAAAACAAAGTGTTTTTATTTTGGCCCAAAAATTTCATTCTTTACCATTGACTGACTAATTTGTCGGCATAACTGTGAACAAATTGTGAAATTCCAAATGCGACGAGGAGTAACACGAAAATGAAGAATCCACCACCAAATTTAATATATTTGGTGTAAACAGAGAGATTCACTTCGCCTTTTTGTTTAATTTCTTGATAAACCTTTCGTTCTTTGGTGGTTTCAGTCACTAGTTTTGTTTTTTCGTCCACTTCGTCGTCTTCTTCGTCTATTATATCCTCGCTCTTTTCCTTATCGTTGATGATCTCCTCCAAAATTTGGGTTTCGGTAATTTCTGACGACTTGACACAGGACGAAATGGAGCCATCGTGCATGATGACAACATTGTCAACATCCTTCACATGACTGGCATTATGGCTAACAAAAACCACCAGTTTGTTCCTCAAAAACTTCAAAATGCACTCTTTGAAAATAAAATCACTGACATGTGCATCCAAAGCCGACAAACAATCATCAAGTAGATAAATCTCGCTTTCTTTGTACACAGCTCGCGCTAAATTGATTCGAGCTTGTTGTCCTTTACTCAAATTAATTCCTCGATCCTCAACGATGGTGTTATCACCGGCTGATAGCAAATCAAAGTCGTATACTAGTGCACACACTTTCAAGACTTCATTGTAGCGTTTTTCGTCCCACTTTTGCCCGAATAAAATATTTTGTTTGATTGAGGAAGGGAAAAGCCAAGGTTCCTGAGAAGCGTAAGAAATTCGTCCTTTTGAAACTAATCCTCCACTTGAAGGTTCATAATCCTGCAGGATAGTCTTCAAGAGGAAGCTTTTACCGCTTCCGACGGGACCAGTAATGAGAGTGACCCCCATGTCAAGTGTCAGGTTTATGGAATGGAGGATTTCCTTGTCTTTGAACTTAACACTAACGTCCTTCAGCGCGATTTTTGGTTTGATTGTTAAATCTTCTTCGGGTTGTTCTGTTGGCACTTCTAGTGCTTTCAAAACGTTTCCAATTCTTTTAATAGAGGCTGACAGTTCGGCTGTTTGAGTGATACCGATAGGGAAAAGGATACTGATAGTGTGGGTGACTGTCTGAAGACAACTTTCCACAAAATACACAATTTCAGCAGTAACGTGATTATCGAGCCATGTGTAAGTCATGATAAGGAGGTAAAAAGCCATTTTGCCACTCAAATTACCTATCTGTAGTACAATAAACTTTAAGTAGAAGTTAGTGTGCATTGTTTTGATTTCCTTCCTGCAAGAAGCATTTAAAATGTGTGCACAATAAATTATACCCACTTTCTAGCATCTAGAATTTTCTTGTCAAAAAACTTTTCCCAGGTGTACATTTTGATTATTTTGATCGCCGATAACGTTTCCTGAGTTAGTTGTAACCTATCGTCTGTTTTCTTGCACATTTTCATACGCAATTTCGCCGATTTTGAACCCAAATAAGCTGAAACCAAAGTCTGAAAATGCTGAAAATTGCCAAGTGACCGTTACCTTGCATTGGGAACAAAATAACAAAAAGCAAGACTCCTGCAAACGCAGATACTCCAATTTTCCGGTAAATTATATAAAAAATGACCCCGGATTTGACAATTCCGATCCATAAATCATTGGCGAAATGGATGAAACTTTCGAAAGAATGCACATCTTTCGTCATCAAAGTCACAATTCGTCCAATTGATATATCGCTGAGTCTTGTGGGACTCAATTTTAGAGCTTTTCTGTAAATAAATGAACAGAAAGCTGTGCGAACTTTAATTCCGAGTCCTGTTACAGCTAATTGATAATTGTGGACATAAATACAGTTAATTAAATTGATTGCGATCAAAAGTGTGGCATAGAAATATGCGTCCTTTTTGGTCATTTCAGTTTGGTTCGGATTGAAATAGGAAATAATTTTGCTCAAAGCTTGCGGTTGGACGACTCTAAAACTCGGAAATTAGGCCAAATCGAGTGTCAGAGTTGTGATTACATCATCGTTGTTTTGACAATGAGTTGCACTAAACCAAGGAGAATGTACTGCCACCCGTAGCAAGCCCACAACAAACGGACTATTGAGTTGTTTTTTCCTTTCTTTTTCTGTTTTTCCCATTCTGCTTCTAACTGGTCTCCCAACGGCTTCGATCTGTAACTCTTCAAAACCTCATACAAGTCGTCTTCTTCCAAATCATTTTTGTAACCCTTTCTGAATAATTTTAAAGTGTAGCTAAAATAAAAAATAAAGCAATTGTGACGATTAAGTGTCAGTCTTACAAAAATGATAAATTTGATAAAATGTTGGCTTTCTCTTTAGGATGGACTTTGCGTTCACGTTTTCCGAGATAGTCCATGGTTTTCAGGTGACACTCACATAATGACAGGAATATACAAGAAGAGGATATAATATCTAATCAAAGTAAATAATAAAAATTTAAAATAATACTCTAAGCATGATTTAATGCCAAGACAAATAATTTTTACTGCTACGTCAGTGCTCGTGTTGTAAAAAACGACGTTTTGCATTAAAGTTAAGCTGTCAACAATGTTAAAATTAAATTTTTAGTTAAAATCTCTTATCACGTTCATGGTTGCGAAGTCATTGTCTTGACCGCCAGTTAAACTAGGTGCTATTGTAAACAAACAGAAATTCTGTTACAATAATAACAATTTTGTTGATAGCTTATCTTTTAGAAACAAGAACAATTACTAAATCTGTAAGTTGATTGGGAGAAATTTTTGGAAGTCGAATTAATAAATGATCTGAAATGACGTTTTTTATTATGTTTGGATACTTAAATAAAGTAAATAGGTTTCTAAAATTTTGTCATTAGACTGAATTAATTTTACTTACCTTACTTATAAGCGATTAAACTGAGCAAAGATTCACAGTAAACTCTATTTTTATTAACATCTACAACATTGGCCTTTTCTCCGTTTTTATAAATCAATAAGGACATAAATCGAGATAATTGTTGAGTATCAAAGATTAGATGGGGTTATTTACTTTAATTATTCTATTATGCGTTTCCATCATCATCGGGAGATTCTTGAAGCATAATTTATGCGATAAACAATTCATTGATAAGATTCTGCAACGGCAATAAGTGAATAATTTATACTTCACTTTTATAAGCAATTAATCTGCAAAACAATAGAAAAAATATGCCATTTCGTTAAACAAATTAGGAGACAGTACTTAAGTATTTAAGTAAATTTATTTAAGTTAATTAAAATTATTTAAGTTAATTTGTAACTAAAAATTTACTAATGTTACCACAAATTTATGTTTTAAGTTTAGTGTAAATTGGTAAGGCACTTTGTAAAAATCCATCTCTAAATAAATCTAAATAAATGAAACGACTATAACAAAATTTCCTATTTTTATTCAAGTTTGTTTAATCATTTCATAAAATAGACTATTTTTATCCTCCAATAACTTGTCAGGTTTGTCTTGTTCAACAATTTGCCCATCATCAACAACCATTACGACATCAGCTGCTAATACCGAGACCAATCTATGAGCTATAATGACCACAGTTGCGGATACAAAATTCTCTTCGATTACGTTTCGAATGAGAGAATCTGTCTCACTGTCTAAATTTGCTGTAGCTTCATCTAAAACAACAATTTTGTTCTTGCGAGCTATGGCTCTAGCTAAACACAAGAGTTGTTTTTGACCAGCACTTAAACTCGTGTTGTTGTCAATCCTGTCGCTGAGACTCGTCACGAAGTCTTGAAGATTAACAATTTTGATTATTTTCCAAATTTCTTCGTCTTTGCATTTGTTCAGAGGATCAATATTTTCGCGAATTGTGCCACTAATCAGGAGAGGATCTTGCGGAATCAAAGCTATGTTAGATCGTAGATAATCCAAGGAGAGATCCTTTATATCAATCCCATCAATTTTGACAATCCCTTCAATATCGTAAAGCCGGAAAAGTGTTGAAATTATTGACGATTTTCCGGCCCCGGTCCTACCAACAATCCCAATTTTCTGTTTCGGGAGAATCGTCAATGTGATATTTTTCAAAACTTTTCTTTCGCCGTATTTCATTGAAACTTTTTCGTAAGTAATTCCGCCTTCTTGTGGCCACTCTTTGACCACTTGACCTTCTTTTTTCTCTTGTTCTACTTCAGTGTATTGCAAAACGCGCTCAACTGATGTCATTTGACTTTCAAAATCGGCCCAACGTCTTATTCCATATTGCAAAAGGCCGGTCAAGTGGAAAGCTTGCGATATGGCCAAGCCCACATTTCCCACACTAGTATCTAAAACCCTCAACAATAATCAAAAATTAAAAATTTTGCTACCCACCATCTGGGATTATCAAAAATCGGACAATCACAATTGTGATAAAAATAGAACACATGCTGTCTAAAACAAAAGCCAGGGCTCGCATACTGTTTTGGATGATGTAGTTAATGGAAGTGTAATGGTCCTGGTATCTATCAAACTCATCTTTGATTATTTCCTGAGCTTTGAAGGCTCGTATTGTAGTTAAGCCTTCAAGACTTGAATTGAGGTGGCCAATTAAAGGGCTACGAGCTATTTTTGGTTATTATAAAAAAATTAAGTGTGAACTCACATGCTGCTTCAAGTCTTTGTAAGTTGCGACCAGTTCTGAGGTAGATAAATCGAGCTAAGTAAGCAATGCAGAAAAAAATCACAGCTGGTATCAAAAACAAGGTATTGACTGAAGCCACCAAGAAAACAATTCCAAGAAGATGCAAAAATAAATCCAAACATTCATTCATAAGGAATGAAAGATGTTCGTCTATAGTACACAAATCCTTAGAAAACCTATTAAGTACATTTCCGATTAAATGAGAGTCAAAGAAAGTCATTTTCGCGTTGATGACTCTCGATATCATAGCTTTGTGTAAGTTGATGCAAGCGTTTCTGTTGAATGCAAAAAAGCTCATAGCTTTAATTACAGACAATCCGGTTGCGGAAACTATAATTATGGTGTACAAGTTTAAAACACTTGATCTTTCTGCCTCGGCTTCCGGAGAAACAGTCAAGTTTTGCATTTTGTAGGTTGAAACATTCTGTTCTAGAGTGACCCTAAAATCGTGTTAATAAAATCGGTTCTTTTGATTACTTGGTCAATTCACCAGTTGCTCACCAACTTATCACTGTAACTAACCACTGATTGAACCACAACAAACATTCCCAAAATGAGGCTAAAACAAATAAACCCTCCACCAAATCGGATGTATTTGAAATAAGTCTCGTAATCGACTTTGCCGCTCTTTTTAACTTCTTTGTAAACGTTGGTACTCTCAGGCACTTTTTCCACTTTCTCAATTTCGTCATTTTTGACCACTTGTTTATTTTTGGGCAATTCGAATTTGATTTGATTTTTGTTTTCTTTGTAAGTGGCTGTAAAACTTGTTATCTTAATTATCCAATCGGCTGCTTGGATATGGTCATGATTATTTGTCACCAAAACACATAGTTTGTCTTTGAGGAAACTCAAAATGCACTCTTTGAAGATGTAATCACTGACATGGCCATCAAGAGCTGCCAAACAATCATCGAGAAGGTAAATATCAGCGTTTTTGTAAACAGCTCGGGCTAAATTGACTCGAGCTTGTTGGCCTTTGCTCAAATTGACACCATTGTCTCCCACAAAAGTCCCATCGCCGTCACTCAACGAATTCAGGTCGTAATTCAAGGCACAAATCTCGAGGATTTTTTTGTACCTCTCTTCGTCGAGTTTCTCCCCGAAGAGTATATTGTGTTTGATTGTTGAAGGAAACAACCAAGGCTCTTGAGAAGCATAGGACAATTTTCCATAAATGGTCAAATTGCCCTCAATTTTATAGTCTTCGAGGATTGTTTTCAGAAAAGTACTTTTTCCAGTACCCACATGACCCACAACGATGTTTAACCCTCTTTGTATTTCCATGGTGACACTTTTGATAATCTCAACTCCTTTTATTTTGACTGAAACTTTATCGAGGATTACAACAGGTCCTTTTGTTCCAAGTTCGAGGTGATTTCGAGAAGTTGGTACTTCTTCTGCGTCTAGAATACTTCGAAGTCGGATGAAGGTAGCCGAAAGCTCTGCTCCGAAAGTTATACCAATTGGGAACAAAATACTGAGGAGGTGTCTCAATTTTCCGAAACAACTTTGGATGAAATACACGATTTCAGCAGTGATGTAGTTGCCCAACCAGACATAAGTCATGACAAGGACATAAAAACCAATCTTGGCCGACAGTCCTCCAATCACTATTATGATTATCTTCAAGCAAAATAATTTAAATATTGAATTGACCTCTTTCCTGAAATTATTTCATAACTGAATTGTCACTACTTGGTTAAACTTACTTTCGTGTTGAGGAGATTTTTTTGTTGAAGAAATCCTCCCAGGAATACATTTTGATCGTTTTGATGCTTGAGAGGGTTTCTTGGGTGAGTTGGATGCGTTCGTCGGTTTTTTTACTAGTTTTCAGACGAAATGATCTTGACATTCGGGCAATAAAAACTGGAAAAACAGTCAAAATATTTTTTCTATTGTGCGAAAAATCAATACTTTGTAAAGGAAGAACGATGAGAAAAAAGCCAACTCCCGCAAAAGCAGCAATTCCGATTTTGCCATAAATTAAGCCACAAATTATTGCAGTTTGAACGAGACCAATCCAGATGTCATTTCCGAAATTTACAACCATTTCAATTGCAAAAATGTCCTTTGTTATCAAAGTTACAATTTTTCCCATTGTTATATCAGAGAGTGACGATTCGGTCATTTTGAGCGCTTTGCGATAGATGAAAGAGCAAACAGCCGTCCTAATTTTGATCGCAAATTCGGTCAATGCTATCAAATAGTTTTGGGTATAGACAAAATTAACAATTCCGAGACCAATGACTGCAGATGCGTACAAATAAGCATCTTTTTTGGTCAATTCAGTTTGCCCTGGACTAAAATACGAGATCAGTTTTGCCAGAGCTTCCGGTACTGCAACTCTAAAAAAAACATAATTATTACATAATTTGACTGCATAAAAAACGAGTTGTTGCATAATTATATCAAAATACCATCAAAACACATGACTGTAATTTACCACAGGTACTCATCACGACCTTGGCATTTTTAAAATTGTGGTAAATTAGTAATGTATTCCTAAAACCGCAATTCACCTACACAAAAATAGTCCTCATTATCAGTTGCATCACTCCAAACATCATGTAGGTCTTTCCGAAACAGGCCCAAAGGACACGCACCATCGACGCTTTTTTGTTTTTCTTCTTGTCGAGTTGCCATTGCTGTTCTAACTGGTCACCCAATTGTTTTGATCTGCAACTGCTCAAAACCTCGTATATGTCGTCGTCGTCTAACTCTTTTTTGAAGCCTTTTTTGAAGAGGGCGAACGAGTAACTAGAGGGGAAAACTAAATTTTTGAGTTTTTTTTTTGAGTACTTACAAAAATGTGATTAGTGATAAAAGGTTTGCAGTTTCTCTGGGATGTGTTTGTTTTTTCGGTTTAAATCCCTGGTCCATTATTTAATTAAAAGCACTTGTAACTCGTTGGACACGATTCTTAATTCTATCTCGGAGCGGATGCCGCGCTAATTTATACTTTTGCTGAACAGAGGCGGAACTAAACGCCGGCTAAAGGGTCCAGCACTTGGTAATTTTGGGGCTCATTCAACATGTATTATGTTCTTGGTGAGTGTTATGGCGAACTCTTCCAAAATAAGTACTAAATAATTGTCGAGTCACAGATAGTGAAAAGTAATTTTTATTTATAGCTCTCGTATTTCATTTTTGTTTACTGTCTATGTTTGAAGTAGACGTTTTTTGATAAATTTAATTAATAACCACCATGAGTGTAGTTTTATTAAAATAAAGCAAAGGTTTTCATTTGATTTTGAATTTATTCTCTTGCCTTTCTAATATTTTTTTAATTCTGTTTCAAATCCATGCAAAGCAATGTAACAAGAAAAAGTACTTTTTGTGGAAAACTACATACCTACAAGGTTTTGATTATACATTTCTGTCACTAAAATACACTACTCCAAAAAATTAAAGGAACAAAAAAATTTCCTAAATTTTCTGGTTATTTTTAAAAGGCTGCAACTTTTCGAAAAATTGTCTTGTGTAGATTAAAAAAAACATTTTGAAGCTTTAAGTTCCTTGTTTTGAGATCTTTTAGCAAATTTTTTTTCTGTGCTACGGTTATCACGCAATTCTAAGTAATACCGCGAGAAAAAAAATCTAAATTTTTATGTTTTTGACTAACAAAAAGACGTGGAGATTTTTTTTTAGTTAAGTCAATGCATAGACCGGATAGCAGGTTCGTTTACCTTTATTATGTTTTTTTCGTATTTTTTACGTCAATTTGTCGCTGAGATATCTGACTTTAAATAAAAGAGGATCCTTTTGTGTTTGATCAATTGATATCTCAGCAAAAACTGGAATTAATGTATGTCTTACAAGATTCTTTTATGATTTTTTGAAAAATATTTTTTTAATTCTCAACATTAATTTAAATAAAATAGAAAAAAAGTAACTTTTTGCGTTGTTTTAGTAAATCTACCACGTATTCACTAATATTGATGTGGAGACTAATATTTTTAGATGTTTTTACAGCTTAATGTATTTCTGCTAATTTTTAAAATGGATCCATCTATCCGTTTTTTTGATTGATTAGTTTTGCCAAAGAGTTTAAAGGAACAATTGTATATATTGTTTCTAATCTTCATCAAAATGAAAAAAAAACATATTTTTTCGCTTCATTTTACAATTTTGCATTAGTTATTTGCTAAAAATAAAAAAAATCAAACAAAAATTGTGTTTTTTGATTTGTAAAAACATTCAAGAAACAATACTGCTTAACTTTTGAAACAAAAGTTCAAGAAAATGTTTTAGGTTTTTTTAAATTTGTAAAAAAAATTCAAGAAACAATAATGATTAATTTTTGAAAAAAAAAACAAAAAATTTTTTTGAATTTTTTTTTAAATTAAGCTCGTTGTGAACACATAAACAAACCAACATAACGTTACAATTACAATTTTAGTAGTATGAACAAAGTTAACAATCTTCATTGAATAACGCTTGCGTAATCTTGGTGGGTTTGTTCACAGTCAATTTTGTAACGCCAACTGACGTCGAATTTTAAAAAAGACGCGATATTTTCTATATGATCATTAGTTGCTGAGATATCGATGATCAAAGACTAAAGAATCCTTTTTCATTTAAAGTCAGATATCTTTGCTATAAATGAACATGCTATCCGGTCTATGCAATGACTTAACTAAAAAAAATCCCCACTTTCGTAGACCAAAAAAAAACATAAAAATTTTGAATTTTTTTTCTTGTACTATTACTTAGGATTGTGTGATAACCATAGCACAGAAAACACATTGCTAAAAGATCTCAAAACTAGAAACTAAAAGCCTAATTTTTTTTTAATCTAAATACGACCATTTTTTGATGAATCACAGCTTTTCATAAATCACCAAAAAATTTAGGCAATTTTTTTGTTCCTTTAATTTTTTGGAGTAGTGTATTTTCTTAGGTAACGCAAAATTTTTAAGGTTTCCTGTTTTGCAAATTTATAATTACAAATAAGGTGGCAAAACATGCGTTTTACTATAACTTGCATATCATCACTTCTATTATTAGTGGGTACTGTTATTATCACCATTATAAAGACATTAAACTTAAATTTAATAGAAGGAACACGAATTGAGAAAACACAGTTTTCGAAATTATTTAATAACACTTTGAAAAAAACTATTCCTATCCTTTAACAACTTTCCAGGTTCATCAAATTCGCTAACTCGGCCATCACTCATCACAACGACTTTATCACAATTCATTACGGATAACAGTCGATGGGCAACAACAATGACAGTCGAATCCCCAAAATGTTTTCTAACGGTTTCTTCGATTAGAGCGTCAGTTTCTTGATCCACATTCGCTGTTGCTTCATCCAAGACCAAAATGTTGCTTTTTCGGAGGACAGCACGAGCCAAACACAGTAACTGTTTCTGGCCGCCACTGAAATTTGAACCTTTATCAATTTGGGAATTTAAATTATCAATTGAAGAGTCCAGTTGCAAGTCTTTTAGAAGTTTCCAAATTTCTTCGTCTTTGTGGCGACCCAAAGGGTCTAAATTTTCGCGAATTGTGCCTAGAAAGAGATAGGGATCTTGGGGAATCACTGTGATTCTTGAACGTAATAACTTTAAAGAGATTTCTTTAATATCAGTGTTGTCAATCGTGACTGATCCTTCAATTTCGTATAATCTAAACAACGCCGAAATAATTGATGATTTTCCAGCTCCAGTTCTACCAACAAGACCCAATTTTTCTTTGGGAGCAATCGCAAAATTAACGTTTTTTAACATTTGTTTATTTGTACCGTAATTTAGAGAAACGTTGTTGAATGCTACTAGGCCATGTTTTGGCCAGTTATCTATTATTTCCCCGTCTTTTTTTTCTTCTTGAAGTTTGGTGTATTCTAAAACTCGTTCAACTGAAATCATCAAATTTTCACAATCTGCTATGTTGATGATAGCTATTGTAAATGTGGTAACAGTGGCCAAAGACTGAGTCATTACAAGCCCCACATCACCAACACTCGCATCTAAAACGCCAAACATATTAAACTAGAAAATAGAAAGTAATCTGGGGTACCTAAATCAGTAACCAAAAATTGTAGAACCACAATACCAAAAAAAGCAACACACACCAACTCCATGAAAAAATTTAGAGCTCTGAATATTGTAACAACCATAAGATAAGCTGACGAAAACAAATCCTGATGCCTTTCAAACTCTTTTATGACAACGTCTTGGGCATTGCTTGCTCTAATTGTCGTTAACCCTTCAAGACTGGTGCTCATGTGACCAATAATAGGACTTCTTGCTACAAGATTCTTGAATAAAATATTTATTTGATTTTTAAGTTAGGTACCTGAAACATGAACTCTTTCCATATTGCGTCCAGCAGGTTGGCAATACTGTTTGACTACACAAGCCACAAACAAAACGATAAAAGCCTCTAAGAAGAAAATGTAATGGACTGTTGTTAAGAGAATTATAGAACCGACGACTTCAAAAATGATCTAAAATGTGTTTGATTAAGTAATTGTTATCAAGAATTTGAATAGATTACTATTATGCATTCAATTACGACAAATGGAATAGTTTCATCAACAGTTGCAAAATCCTTAGAAAATCGATTCAAAACATTTCCGATTAAATGTGAATCGAAGAATTGCATGGTACTGTTTAGAATATTGTACACCATTGCTTTGTGTATATTGAACGAAGCTTTTTTGGTAAAGAAAAAGAATGCAAATGAGCGAATCAATGATAACAGAATTGAAAATATAACTGCGGTCACATAAATGATCAACAAATTGTTTCTTTCGCTGGAGAGAGATTTGGTTTCAAATTTTTTGTAATTGGTAAAATTTTGTTGCAAAGTAACCCTATACAAAAAAATATAGACATTGTTGAAAAAAAAATTAAACTCACCATTCACTTAGAATTTTTTCGCTATAACTAGCCGTTAATTGGGTTGCCACAAAAAGACCGATCAAAAGACAAAATATAAATAAACCGCCGCCATAAATTACGTATTGGTGATAGTCACGTAAAGGCACTTTTCCAGATTTTTTCTCTTCATGATAGATCGTATTTTTGAGACTTTTTATTTCGACTTGATTTTTTTCACTTTTGTTATTTTTATTATGAGCTTTAAGCTCAAATATTTTCTCTTCCAGTTTTATTTTCTTCTCAATTTTGGCCGAACCACTTTCTAGCACAATTATATTGTCGGCACTTGGACTATAATCTGAATTATTGGTCACAAAAATGCAAATTTTGTTTTTCAGAAACTTGCAAATACATTGTTGAAAAATGCTGTCACTTACATGGGCATCTAAAGCCGCCAAACAGTCATCCAAGAGATAAATATCGCTTTCTCTGTACAAAGCTCTGGCTAGATTTACTCGAGCTTGTTGACCTTTACTCAAATTTAAACCACGGTCTCCAATAAGAGTGTCATCTCCTTCCGGAAGCAAGTTCAAGTCGTGGTTTAGGTTACAAATTTTTAAAATTTTAGTATAACGCTCGGGGAAATATTTTTCTCCAAAGAGAATATTATTTTTGATTGTTGACGGAAAAAGCCAAGGTTCTTGTGACGCGAAAGAGATTTTCCCAAAAACTCGAATCTCGCCACTGAATCCAGTTTCTCTAAGGATTGTTTTCAAAAATGTCGTTTTGCCACTACCTACTGGACCCAAAACGACATGAAGGCCTGAATGAAGAGTCAATGAAACGTTTTTTAACACCGTTTTGTCTTTTATTTTGACAGTGATTTCATCTAGAATTATTTCAGGTTCTGTGCACTCAATATATTCCAGGACTGGTCCAAGTTCTTTACTTTTAAGAACACTTTCAATTCTTTTAGTAGTAGCAAACATTTCGGCAATTTGGGAAATTCCAAAAGGAATTGTCCTATTGAGTGACAATTCAAGGTCTTTGAAACAACTAGCGATGTAGTAAACCACTTCAGCTGATACGTCGTTACCAAACCAAATGTAAGTGATGAGAAAAATGAAAAATGCAAGTTTTGTGGAGATGTTTCCAATTATTAAAATCCATACTTTGGTGTAATAGAGTTTGTAAAGTTCTTTCAGTTCTTCCCTGAAACGGTTTTTTGATTATTTTGTTGACTTGTTTGAACGTTTTACTTTCTTGCATTGTTAATTTTCGTTTCAAAAAATGTTTCCCAAGTGTACATTTTGATAATTTTTATTGCTGACATAACTTCTTTCAAAAATTCGAGCCTTTCATCACATTTTCTGCTACATTTCAGTTTTAAATTGTATGCCATTTTTCCAAGAAGTGCTACAAGACATTAAATTGCGATAATTACAACACAAAAAAATTACCTTGAATGGGCAACACGACAAAGAAAAAAGTAATTCCAGCAAACGATGCGATTCCGATTTGGTAATAAATCAAATAGCAAATGAGACCAGTTTGTAGAAGAGCTATCCAAACATCATTTCCCTCTCTTGTAACAGTTTCAATAATTTCTAAATCTTTACTTGTAATTGTTGTGATTTTTCCGGCCGTTATCTCCGACAAAGATTCATTACTCAATTTTAGCGATTTTCTGTACAAAAGTGACGAAACTGCTGCCTTAATTCCAACTGCTAGTTGGGCTGCTGCTAGTCTATAATTACTTTTAACAATTAAATCAACCAAACTCAAAGTAATGACCATGCAGGCGTAGTAGTAGGCATCTTGTTTGGTCAAATCAGTTTGTCCAGGATTGAAATACGAGATCAGTTTTGATAAAGCTTTCGGTGACCAAATTCTAAAATAAGACAATGTTTTTTTAAAACACAAAACCAAGTCCTCACGTTTTGACAACAGTAGAAGCAAACTGTATTAATCCCAACAAAATAAAAGTTTTGCCAAAACAGGCCCAAAGAGCTCGACACACTGACGGTTTTCTCCTTTTGTTTTCCTCAATCCTCCACTGTTTCTCAAGACGATCTCCCAATTCTTTCGCGCGACAGTCACTCACGACTTCGTAGACATCATCCATTTCTAGACTTTTTGAGTAACCTTTTTGAAAAAGTTCAAGGGAGTAGCTGTTGGCGCAGTTATTTCAATTTGTGCTAATTTGTTACGTTACTTACAAAAATGACAAAAACGAGAAGATGTTAGCTGTTTCTCTGGGATTGGTTTCCCTTGTCGACGTGTTGTCACGATCCATAACTTTGGCCAATTTTAGGAATTGTGAATTTTGTCGGGAGACAACACGCGCTCGAGTTGTTTCATTTAACTTAATTATTTTTATTCGGTTAATGCAGTGGCGGAGTAAAGCATGCAGGAAATTTAAAAAATTACTAATTTTTAGATGTAATCCTAGGTGAGATTGTAATTAGTAAGTGAACACGTGTTGTATTATTATCAACATTGTTTATGTATGTATGTGGATATAATGAATCTTTTATTTTGTTCTCATTATTCTCATAAATCAGAGATAACAATAAAGTAAGTGACAGTATTATGGTAATAAATTATACTGTGCACAACTCCGTATCTGTTTTAGCGAGGGAGTAATTAAAATTCTTCTGTAAATAATTGCTTCAAATTGGGTTTGTCTTTGCGACAGTTTTATATAGACAGTTTAGACAAAATGCGTTTACTAATCAAATTTTTATTTCAAGGTACATTTGCTGTCATATACAGTGTGTCCCAGCGAATTGAGAAAGTCCATTAGTGACCTTTAAATGGTAAAATTAAAAAAAAATTATATAGGACATTGATAGATTCTAATCTAGTCCATCGCCTAAAATTATTTTCAACTATACAGCGTGTTTCAAAAATAAGTTACAATACAAACTTGTGTTTTTTTTAATGAAACACCATCTTAGCGTTTTTGGATGTAGATTTTTATGACAATGTTTTTAGGCTAAACTTTTATTAGTCGATTTCGCTTAGTTTTAGAAATAAGACTTTTTTTTGACAAAAACATGCACTTTTAAAAAAATTATTACACAAAAACTAAGATAGCTAGAACAAATTTTAGTCTTACTTCTGTAAAGAAGAAAGTACAGAATTTAAAGCTGTATCAATTTTTTAGTGTTTTGCATTTGTAAAGATTAAAAAAATGAAGAAGTTTGTTAAAAGTTAAACAACTTAAAAAAAACAAATGGAACACCCTATTTTTTATTTTTGCATCTAATAGATTGATAAATTGTCTATCTAAAAAAAACCTAATGTCTGGAATTAATAAATGAAAAAATATTTAACATTTAAAATTAATTGTAGCAACAATGCCTATCAATATCTGAGCATTGTTGATACTACAGCAAGCATAGTAATTCCACCACGGATCACTTATCCGTTGATTTATCCAGAGATTGTAAAAGTTGTTATAAATACTGAAATTCAATTAATTTTATTGTAAAAATAAAAAAAATAAATTCAGTTTAACACAAATGTGATTATTAAGTGATATTTTTTCCATTTCTTGTGCAACTGTGCACTTTTTGGCTACTGAAACAATAGTAATTATTTTTTTAATGTTTAACGTTGAATATATTTCTAGTGATTGATTATAAACACCTAGAAGTAAATACTTTTAGAAAGACAATTTAATAATCTTTTAAATGCAAAAACAATAAATAGGGTGTTCCATTAAAAAAAATTTTATTGAACTTTTAACAAACGCCTTGATTTTTTTATCTTTGCAAATGAAACCTTATAGCTTGTACCTTCTTCTTTGCGGTAGCAAAAAAAAATTTCTAGATGTCTTAGTTTTTGTGTGATAAATTTTTAAAAAGTGCATGTTTTCGTCAAAAAAACCGTCTTATTTTTTAAACTAAGAAAAATCGACCAAGAAAGTTTAGCTTAAAACATTGTCATAAAAATCTACATCCAAAAACGCTAAGAACCATATCGTGTTTCATTTAAAAAACACAAGTTTGTACTGTAACTTATTTTTGAGACGCGCTGTATAGTTGAAAATAATTTTAGATTAGTATCTATCAATGTTCCATACAATTTTTTTATTTTACTATTTAAAAGTCACTAATGGGCTTGTTCAACTCGCTGGGACACTCTGTATTACATTTTTCCTATGTAAAAGTTCTAAATAAAAGTCGATTTTTTAATTTTATTTGTTGTTTCTGATTATTTTCGAAATGAAGATTACTTTTGTTTTCTTCAATTTTCTAGCAATTTTTAATCTCCCTGTAAGTTTTCAGCCGACACTTTAGTGTCTTGTAAAGTCTTGACTTTTTAAACCATTAGCGGACCTTTTTTGAAAAGTTTGATTATGTAACTAAAAAAATATTTTACTGAAGCATGTAATAAAAAAATCACTTACTAATATGACAAAAGCGGAAAAATGTTATCTGTTCTCCTGAACTTCCTCTCCGGATCCGTTGTGTTAACAGATAAATTGTCCAATTTCGCTATTACAAAATTTATGGTGTCAGCAGAGGCGGAGGTTGAATAAAAGACGACACAAGTGAGGAAATAAATTAGTGTGTGCTTTATTATCACAAAAAAATTATTTAATAAAACAGTGAAAAAAACTGTTTTTATTTTGCAACAACTTCTCCGGTTCGTCGAGTTCCCTAATTCGGCCGTCGCCCAAGACAATAACTTTGTTGCAACTCATCACCGAAGACAACCTATGAGCTATAACTATCACAGTCGATTCGCCGAAATGATTCGTGACGGCTTCGTTGATCAAAACGTCGGTTTCTTGGTCAACATTCGCAGTGGCTTCGTCCAAAACCACGATTTTATTTTTCTGAAGTATGACACGTGCGAGGTAAAACAACTGTTTTTGCCCGGCGCTCAAAGTTGAGCCTTTATCAATGTTGACATCGAGATCGTTGATTAAATTATTTAGGCGAAGATTTGTTAACACTTTCCAGATTTGCTCGTCGGTGTAGTGGCTTAAAGGGTCCATGTTTTCCCGAATTGTTCCCGAAAAGAGGAAAGGGTCCTGAGGGATGACCGAAATTTTACTTCGGAGCCAGTTTAGGGACACATTCTCGATGTCCACACCGTCAATTGTGATTTTTCCGGTGGTTGGGTACAGACGCAGCAAACTTGAAATTATCGAAGATTTCCCAGCTCCAGTTCTCCCAACAATTCCCACTTTTTCTCTAGCTTGAACTGTGAAGTTTATATCATCCAACATTGGCTTACTTCCGCTATAATTTAAGGAAATTTGATTGAAATTAATTAAACCCTTTCGTGGCCAGTCTTTTATAACAATCCCGTTTGTTTCCTCTTGCTCTAGTGAAATATATTCCAAAATTCGTTCAACTGAAGTCATCAAATTTTCACAATCTGATAAATTTCTAACTCCATTTGTTATTAAACCTGTGATTGTGAAAGACTGAGTTATAGCGAGACCAACATCGCCAACATCATTACCTAAAAATTTCTATTAGATAGATCAGTCAAAAAAAATTTTTTTTACCAAAATCAAAAACCAGGAACTGAATTATGATCGAAGAAACAAAAAGGGCACTAAACAAATCCAAACCAAACGACAAGGCCGTTAAACTATTATATAACATGAAATTGGCTGAAGAGAATAAATTCTGATGTTTGTCAAACTCGTCAATTACCATTTCTTGAGCATTGCAAGCTCTTATAGTTGTCAAGCCTCCTAGAGTCGAATTGACGTGACCAATCATTGGGATTGAGGCTAAAAATAAAATACCAATTATAAATTAATTAAAATTATCGCACCTTGGACATGTAATCGTTGCAGATTTCGACCAGTTGGTTGACAAAACCGCTTCATCAAATATGATACAACTAGCAGAAAAAGGCATTCAATTAGAAACAAATAATTCACTGTTGTCATCAATACAATGCCGCCAAAAGCAATAAAAATCATCTACAAATCGATTTTTGAAACACTTCTTTGATTTTGTGACTATTGTACCCTCAAACACTCCACAAGTATGACGGGAAGTTGTTCATCAGCAGTGAAAAAATCCTTGGAAAATCTGGTTAAAATATTCCCGATGAAATTTGAATCAAAGAAATTCATGGTGGTGTTTATGACACTATGGAGCATTGCTTCATGCATGTTGATTGAAGCAATTCTTGCAAAGTAGAAGAACGCAAATGCGCTGAAGATTGTCAAGACAATGGACGCGATAAATGTGACGGAATACATTGTTAAACTGTATGTTTTGTCTTTGTAGAGATTGTCAAAGTCGGTGTTGTTGACCGAAAAAGTCGTCAAATTTTGTTCTAAAGTAACCCTAGAAGTAAATTTTACACAAAAATTGCCAGTGGTGGACTCACTCACCAATTCGTCATCAATTTTTCACTGTAACTAGACGAAGCTTGTGTTATTGTAAACAAAACCATGATAAGACAAAAAACAATACAGCCTCCACCATAAATGACGTATTTGTGGTAATCCCTCAAACTCACTTTTCCGCTATTTTTCGACTCGTGGTATATTTCCACTTTTTTGATTTCTTCCTGGGTGATTTCATTCCGATCGAAATCGGTGTTAATACATTCAAACCCAAATTTCCTCTCATTGTTACACGACACCAAGCCTTGATTTATCTCAATGACAACATCCGCTTTTTGCACGTAATTCAAGTTATTGGTAACAAAAACGACAAGTTTATTTTGCAAAAATTTACAAATGCATGAATCAAAAATTTTGTCACTGACATGTGCATCCAGAGATGCTAGACAATCGTCGAGGAGATAAATATCACTGTCTTTGTACACAGCTCGCGCCAAATTAATCCGAGATTGTTGGCCTTTACTTAGATTAATTCCACAATCGCCTATAACTGTGTTATCCCCACAAGGGAGCAAAGCCAAGTCATAGTCCAGGCAACAAATCTGCAAAACCTTTTTATACCTCTCGTGTGAATATTTTTCGCCAAATAAAACGTTGTTTCTGATTGTTGAGGGAAAAAGCCAAGGTTCTTGAGACGCATAAGAGACTCTTCCAGAAATAGTTACTTTACCAACAATAGGCCATTCGTGGATGATAGTCTTGAGAAAAACCGATTTGCCACTTCCAACAAATCCAGTGACGATGTTCAAGCCTTGACCAATCACGAGACTAGCGTTTTTCAGGATTTGCTGCTGGCCTATGAAAGTACCAACTTTATCAAAAATTATTTGAGGGCGTTTTTCAATTTCAATTTTCTGTTTCTGAATCGACTCTTTACAATTTAGAATAGTCTCACATCGTTTGGCAGTAGCGTACAATTTGGCGGCTTGTGAAAAACCATACGGAATTATGTTACTCAACGAATATTCAAGATCGTAGAAGCAACTCAAAATGTAGAAAACTACTTCAGCTGTCACGTCATAACCCAAATGAACATAAGTCATTATGAAGATGAAGAAGGCGATTTTTGTGCAAATACTCCCGATTATTGTTATCCAAATTTCGGTGTAGAAGAGTTTGTGGAGTTGTTTGACTTCTTCCCTGAAAAAAATTTGATTTTCAAGTCTTACAGAGTTAGAACTTACTTTCTAGCTTTACAAATTTTCGTTTCAAAAAATTTCTCCCAAGTGTACATTTTGATGACTTTAATTGCTGAAAGTACCTCTTGAGTCAACTCGAGTCGTTCGTCGGTTTTTCTATTACACTTGAGTCGCAAATTATAGGCCAACTTCCCGATCAAAACTGCAAACCACAATTAGAGATTTGTTAATTGTGGTGAGTTGCGGTACTTTGGATTGGTAAAACAGCGAAGAAGAAGATGACTCCGGCCCAGGACGCGATTCCAATTTTCCTGTAGATGAGATAACAGATGATTCCAGTTTGAATGAAAGCAATCCAAATATCGTTTCCAAACGCTATAAACTCTTGAAAAGCATCAACGTCCTTATTTATGATTGTAGTAACTTTTCCTACAGTCACTTCAGCTAAACAATCAGAATTCAACCTGAGCGATTTTCGGTAAATCAAAGAGCAAATGGCTGCTTTCACCCCTAAGCCCAACTCGATTAAGGCTAAAGCAAGATTGTTGGAGAAAAATACATGAACTATTCTTAATCCAATCACGACGCAAGCATAATAAGTTGCGTCTTCTTTACTGATTTCGGTTTGACCCGGACTGAAGTAGGAAATTAGTTTTGAAAATGCTTGCGGCGACCAGATACTAGAATTTTCAAGTCAAGACAATTTCCCCCTCGTGGAAAACTCACGTAATTGTTAGTTTGATCACAAGTTGCATTAGCCCCAATTTTAGAAATCTTTGACCGAAAGTGTGCCAAAGGGCGCGACATAATGACTTCTCTTTGCTTTTTTCAAAGTGCTTTTCTAACAAATCCCCCAATTCTTTTGACCGACAGTTTTGCAAAACTTCGTACAAATCGTCGCTTTCAATCCCTTTCGTGTATCCCTTTTTGAAAAGTTTGATTATGTAACTGAAACACGTCACTGGTGGTAATTACTACAATTATCAACGTACTTACAAGAATGATAGTAGAGATATTATATTTGTTGTTTCCTTGGGATTGGGCTGTCTTTTGAAAGAGTGACCTCGGTCCATTGCTATCAGTTTGTTATCTCAATAACATAATGCGGTGTATTGTGCTTTAATTATTTTTTATGGGATGTGTTCCGTGTGGCTAGTTAAAGGATGCTTAATTTGACACTAGACTTTTTGCCAACACAGCGATTTTCTGATAATTGGGTCATATTTTGTGTCGGATGTTCCGTGACTGTTCGGTTTGATATTATTGTTATGCTTGGAAAACTACATTTCCGCTTTTATTTCATTACAAGATTTTGAATACTTGCAAAAATGTGCTCATGACGAACACTTTTAATACGATTAAGCTAATGACGATGTCCTTGACGAAATTTCACACTTTTCCTGTTTCCAGTTTACACAATTACTACAATTTTATGAAACTTATTGAATTAAACCTGTCTCTGGTAGTACGCACGCGATACTATGTCACAGGTCATTCCAAAGAGATTATCATTTGAAAAGCACAATAAATTTGATTATGTTATTTACAGGGGATAAGATCGTTATTTTTGCGTCACTAATGTGCTCGAGAAATTATGTTTAAATTTGTTAGGTACAACAACAATAAGCTACATTTTCCAATAATTAACAATTAAAAAATAGATAAAAAGTGTGGTAGTTTATAGATTTGTAATTATTCCATTTACCTAATTACCTTTTTTAAGAAATATTCAATTTCATCTACTTACGTTGTTTGTTTTTGCTTTTAACTTTTTTAAGTTTGATTTAACAACAATTAACATCATTGATTCTTCTTGATCAATAATACTTGTTAAGTAAAAATTTTCAGCAAAGAATTTTACTCACAGAAACTTTTTTCTGGATGTCTTGGTGTCGCGAGTAAAATAACACACAATATATAAATAACACCAAACGTTTATTTAACCGCAGTTTTTATTCTCCCCTGAGGAATATTACGACTTTGTGGTCGAAACGCAACGAAACAAACGTTGGGTGTTTGGGAAGTACATATCTGTTATTTAATTTATTTTTTTTTAATTAGTGATAGCTATCATAAACCATCTTTTAAATTTTTGCAATTCTCTTACAATGGGCTTTTTTTCTATTTTAATGCAAATATTTCGCAGCTTTCTAACTAATTTTTGGTTGTCAGTGCGGACAAATCGTTATAATTTAGTATTGAGGAACTAATTTTTTACGAGGGGCCGTTAACTTGATAAAAATGTGTACAACTAATTACAGTTCCAAAAAAAATCCACCGAAATTCTAGTAATTCCAAAAAATTTCACCAAAATTCCAAAAAAATCCAGTAATTCCAATAATCCATCGTAATTCCATTCTTTTTCAGATTAATTCCTATAATTCCAAATTAATTTCTGTAATTCCAAATATTAATTCCTGTAGTTACATAGTAAGATATTTAGTGACTAAAGGTACTAAAGACTCAGAAAAGCGCATAAAACGTTATTTGCTCAAGTTTAAAAAATTATGAATTTTTCCAGTTTTTGAAGGTGAGCGGTAGTAAAATCGTAAAAATAGTCAATTTAATTTAAGTCATAAAAACGCTTGAAATATGGTTTTCTAGACGTAAAATTACGCGCTGAACACAATGCAATAAGTTAAAATACTGCAAATGCATAGTTTTTGAAATATTGAGTAATAAAGTGAATAAGGCTAATAACTGAATAAGGCTAGTTTTTAAGAAAATTTTTCCTTTTTTATTTTGTAAATTGCGAAAAAACTGTATCTCAATAATACAATATTTTGACCTAAATATATGTAAAATGTTCCGGGGAATCGATTGGCGTCAAGAAAACTGCTAATAGTTTTGAAGTTATAAGCGAATTTATATTTTTGCTATTTTTGACTTTATCAGAAATTTTCTCAATAACTATTCATTGTAGAGCACTGAAATTTTTAATATATGATAGAAAATTAAATTTTCTATCCAACGGTACCAAATATAAGAGGATATCTCTAATAAGTCCGGAGTTATTGCCATTAGACCGCTCCGGGTGCCAAAAATCGACCAAAATATCAACAGAAATTCAAAAAATTTCATCTTTAAAATTTTCCATTTAACGTTTCTTGCATTTCTAAAGGTGTTAAAGACTCAAAAAAGTGCATAAAACGTTATTGGGACAAGTTTTAAAAAATGATAAATTTTTCGAGTTTTTGAAGGTGAGCGGTGTAAAATCATAAAAATCGTCAATTTACCTTAAGTCGTACTAAGCATATTTCCAAAAATTTGTACAATTAATTCCAGAGTGAACGGCCCCTAGTTTTTTTATCACTAAACATAGTTGAAACCAGAAATGGTTGTAAAAAAGAGCGTTGTCAGTAACAACACTATTGTCTCACATCGTCAGTTTTGTCATCTTAGTAGCAATAAATAAAAAAAAAATTAACATTGTTTTAGAAATTTCCAAGATATAGACGAGTCAGATATTTTAATGTTTTAAAAGTAATAATGACACCACGCAATAATTGTTTGTTTGGGATTAAAAAAAGGTCTAATCTTAATTACAGTAAAAGATTTTTGAGAAAGAACAAAAAAGCCTTTCTTTCAAATTATTTATTATTGATAAGTACAAAACTGCTCATAAATCACACTTAGGTATGAAAAAACCTCAAATTTAACAGCTACTTCAACAAGTTAGCTTGCCGAATCATCTTGTAGAAAAATCCGTTTTGATTATTAAGCAAAACACTGGGATTATCAAATTCTACGATTCTTCCCTTATCCACAACCATCACCCTGTCCGAATACATGACAGTATGCAGTCTATGCGCAATGGTCAAAACAGTGCAAGAAGCGAAACTCTCTTGAATAGTCGAGTAGATCACAACATCCGTCTCCGGATCAACATTCGCTGTAGCTTCATCCAAAATGATAATTTTGCACTTGCTGATAATAGCCCGTGCCAAGCAAATCAGTTGTCTTTGACCGGAGCTATAATTTGACCCACTTTCAGTGATCTGATAATCCAAACTAGGAAACAAATTCTTCAAATTCGCGGTCTTGATAGCTTTCCAAATTTCCTCATCAGTGTAGAGCCCAATTGGGTCAATATTGCTGCGAATTGTTCCACTAAACAAAACGGGATCTTGGGGAATAATAGCAATATTCGATCTGAGAAAATCCAAAGAGAGGGTTTTAACATCAACATCGTCAATAGCAATAGTTCCTTCACATTGATACAAGCGAAATAGGGTCGAAATCAAAGAGCTTTTCCCAGCACCGGTGCGGCCAACAATTCCGATTTTCTCGCGCGAATTTATCACAAAATTAATGTCTTTCAAGACAAATTCTTTCGTTTTGCCATAAGTCAAATTGACTCCTTTGTAGGTAATTTTGCCACCTGTTGGCCAGTCTTGGAGCACCAGACCAGCACGATTTTCTGTTTCGACATATGCGTACTCGAGGACTCTCTCCACTGAAGTCATGTAGTTCTCCAGTTCCGCCCATTGTCGTATCGCCCATTGGAGGAGACCAGTTAAGCCAAGGGCTTGAGTTATAGCCAAAGTGACGTTCCCGGGGAGTGAATCTGCGACATTTCGTTATTAAATAATAATCCGAAGAAAACTTCTACCTGATCTTGTTATCAAAAGCCAAGTTATTATTATCGCCATGAACAGACTACAAACCAAATCTGCGAAATAAGCAAACGCCCGTGATGCACACTGCATCATATAGAACGTTGAAGTGTAAAGATCCTGGTGTTTGTCGAACTCTTCTCGAAGAATTTCTTCAGTGCGGTACGCTCTGATTATAGTGAGGCCTTCCAAAGAGGCATTCAGGTGGCCAATGAATGGACTACGTGCTAAAAAGTTGTCAACGTGTTATATACAATTTTTTTTCTGGTGCTTACTTGCAGATTCCAGTCTTTTGAGGCTTCTCCCAGTCGGCAAATAATATTTCCTTAAGATATAGAGTAAAACAGCCATGATACAAATCGGAATGATAAACAAAGCTCTGACTATTAGAATCAAAATTAAGACACCACTGATGAAGCAAATCATCTGAAACAATTCTAGGTTTACACTACTCCAAATAAATTTTTTGGTGACTTTTCAAAGGCTGTAACATCGATTTAAAAAAACCATTTTGAAGCTTTAAGTTTTGAGATCTTTTAGCAATTTTTTGTGTTACGGTTATTACGCAATTCTAAGTAAAACCGCGAGAAAAAAAAATTCTAATTTTTTATGTTTTTGTTTTTGGTCCACGAACATGGGGATTTTTTTTTCATATTGTCTTTACGTCAATTTGTCGCTGAGATATCTGACTTTAAATGAAAAGTGATCTTTTTGTCTTTGATCATCGATATCTCAGCAACCAATGACCACACAGAGAATATAAATGTAGTGTCAAAAACTAAAATAAATGTCTTATAAGATTCTTTTCTGATTTTGTGAAAAATTTTTTTTATACCTTTAACATTGATTTAAAGAAAAGAGAAAAAGTAACTTTTTGCGTTGTTTTATTAAATTCACCGCGTATTCACTAATATTAATACGGAGACTAATGTTTTTAGGTGTTTTTACAGCTTAATGTACCTTGCATTGCCCTGAAAACTTTTAAGTCGATCCATCACACTCTTTTCTCGGACCAATTGATAAAAGTTTTACAAAAAAATTAAAGGAACAATTGTATGTACATGTTGTTTCTGAACATCGTTTAATCTTCGTCAAAATGAGAAAAACAATTTTTTTCAGCTTTCTTTTACAATTTTGCATTAGTTAAATTTGAAACAAAAATGAAAAAAACATGTTGGACATTTTTTTCAAAAATTAATCAGCAATTGTTTTTTGATTTTTTTTACAAATTAAGAAAAGTCTAAACATTTTTGAATTTCTTTTCAAACGTTAAGCAGTATTGTTTCTTGAATATTTTTACAGATTTTCAAAAAAAATCAAAAAAACAAACATGTTATCCGGCCTAAACATTGACTTAACTAAAAAGGAATTCTCCACGTCAGTGGACCAGAAAAAACAGAAAAAATATAATTTTTTTCTTGCACTATTACTTAGGATTGCGTGATAATAACCGTAGCCCGAAAAAATATTTGCCAAAAGATCTCAAACCTAGAAGTTTAAAGCTTCAAAATCGTTTTTTTAATTCTAGATACGACAATTTTTTGATGAATTACAACCTTTCAAAAATCACCAAAAAATTTAGGAAAATTTTTTGTTCCTTCAATTTTTTGGAGTAGTGTAGTTGGAATTGGTTTACTTCAAGACAACTTACCCGAAAGCATTCGTAGAGAGTGTGAGGTAAAATTTCATCAATCAAGGCGAGATCTTTGGAAAATCGGTTCAAAATGTTCCCTATGTAGTGCAAATCGAAAAATTTCATCGTGGCATTGACAACCGACACAATCATTGATTTGTGAAGGGCAACTGAAGCTCGAGTCGCAAAAGCAAAAAGAGCAAATGCCCTTAAAAGTAACAGTATTGTCGATGTGATAATAGCAGCGGTGTACAAGTTTATAACTTTGGTATTTTTCCTGATTAAAATGTGATAATCAGTCTCGGAAATATTAGTCACGTTGAATTTGTAGTCGGAAATGTTTTGTTGTAAATTAATCCTAGAACCCCAAAAATAAAGTTAAATGAAGAAATTACAAATTACAAATTACCAATTTTTAATACAGTTTTCTGAAAAAATACTGGCACTTTGCGCTAAAATAAATAGGAGAATTATGAGAATCAAGACGAGTAATGAGCCACCATGAGTAAAGTACTTTCTATAAACACCAAGATCGACTTTTCCGTCTTTCTTTTTCTCGCTGTAGATGTTGGGTTTGGGTTTGTCAAGTAATTTAGTGTCTTCGCGTGATTCATCAATTTCCATCACGATGTTATCAATGATGTCGTCTTCGACAACTTTGTCGTCATTGCGGACCAGTTCTTCGATTTCTTCATCGCGGATTTCTGACGGTTTCAAACACGATTTCACAGTCCCGTTCTCCATAATGACCACACAATCACCTTCTTTGATTTGTCGTTCATTGTGCGAAATCATGACGACGATTTTATCCTTAAGGAAAGTCTTGACGCACTCTCTGAAGACATACTCTTGAACTTGAGTATCCAAAGCAGACAAACAATCGTCTAGTAAGTAAATATCACTGTCGCAATACACAGCTCTAGCTAAACTAATCCTCGCTTGTTGGCCTTTACTCAGATTCATTCCGCGATCGTCGACAATGGTACTGTCCCCTTTTTCGAAAGTGTCAATGTCTTGTTCCAGGGCACAAACCTCAAGGACTGTTTTGTACCGATCCTGGTTGAATTTTTGCCCAAATAAGATGTTTTGGCGGATGGAAGAAGGGAACAACCAGGGTTCCTCTGAAGCATAAGAAACCGTGCCTTGAATGGTCAAACTCCCGTCGCAAACGGGATAATCCTGAAGGATGGTTTTCAGGAGCGAGCTTTTACCACCCCCGAGTTTCCCAGTAATGAAATTCAAGCCGGATTTGAACGTCAAGTTTACATTGTGCAAAATTGGGTTTTGGTTAATTTCCACTGCAACTTGTTTTAGTTCGATTATGGGTTTCGACACGTTTGACTCGTTCCTGGTTTTTGGTTGCTCTTCAGCGGTTAGAAATTTGCGAATTCGGTTCACAGAAGCTACCAATTCGGCCGTTTGTGCGATTCCTATTGGGATTGAAATGGTGACTGAAGAGCGCAAAATGTGCAAACAACCGTTCAAATACACGGCCACTTCAGCAGTGAAGTAGTTCCCCATTTGGATGTAGGTTATCACAATGATGTAGAAAGTGACACTGATGACCAAACCACCGATTACTAGTGACGTGGCTTTGGAGAAAAAAATTTGCTTGATTTTTGTTACTTCCTTCTCGCGGGCTTTGGAGATTTTCTCCCCGAGAAAACTCTCCCATGTGTACATTTTGATAGTTTTAATGGCGGAGAGGATTTCCTGAGTGAGTTGGATTCTTTCATCGGTCACTTTACTCGCTTTGAGTCTCAGACTCATGGTCAGTTTCCCAAACAGAACTAAATCAAATTATTTTTTTTACTAGTTTTTGACTCACCTTGCATGGGTATTATCAACACCAGAAAGAGTACTCCGGCCAAAGCTGCCACCCCGATTTTCTTATACATCATCCACGATGTCAACACAAGAAGTATCAAACTGATCCACATGTCGTTCATAAAAATTATGGCAGATTCGAAATTCGTCACATCTTTTGTTACAAGTGTCACAATTTTTCCGACACTGCTCGCAGACAATGACGAAGTTTTCAGTTTTAAAGACTTGCGATAGAGGAGGGAACAGAACGCCGTCTTGATCCGGACCCCCAACTCCATGATGTGAAACATGTAATTGTGGCCGTAAGTGGTGTTGATGATGTTTATCCCAATCAAAACACAAGCGTAGTAAATGGCATCTAATCTGGTAAGTTTGGTGGACGAAGTGAAATACGAGACGAATTTTCCCAAGGCGTTTGGTTGAATCGCTCTGAAATAATTTTAATTAAACTAGAACTCGATTAAAAAACCAACAGTACAAAACGCAAATCTTCATCGTCAATTGGATGAATCCCAGAAAAAGGTAATATTTGCCGTAGCAAGCCCACAAGAGTCGATACACTGACGGATTCGCCCTTTTCTGTTCCTTCACCCACTCTTCTTCTAACTCATCTCCCAATTTTGATGATTTAAATTTATGCAAGACCTCATAGACGTCTTCTTCAACGAAATCATTTTTGTGTCCCTTTTTGAGCAAATCGTGCGTGAAGCTTGAAAAATTCACAATAAGGTGAATAATTTAACAATTAGGTACTTACAAAAAAGTGATTAATGAAATTAAATTGGCTTTTTCTTTCGGATTAGTTCTCTTTTTCCGATCCTCACCATGATACATTTTAAACGTTTATTGAGGTACCAGGTGTTCTACCGAAATTATCTAATCTAGAATAAATAAGAGTGCTTTTAGTGATCTTAGATGGACAAAACGGAATTGATAGGATCTTTGCTTAATCTAAACATAAATATTGATAAATTATTATTTTGAGCAATTTCATCGAACAATTTTATATTATTACACAATCCACTTGTGATAGCGACATCCTAATATCATTAGTATTTTTTTAAATCAGATTAGACAACTATTTCAATATCTTTAAAAATACAAAGTGGTTATAAATGATTTTCATCTAGCCAGCTGTAAATTCTCCATGTAAAATAAAAAATGCCGCTTTACGAAAATAGGGGTACCTACTTGTTTTAACTCAAAATTAAAATATCGCCGTTTACTAAGCGTCCACTTCGAAAATAGACTTCAATTATAAACTTGTTTTCTTCCAAAGTATACATTATTATCAACTATTATTGGAAATTAGTTGAAACAATAAAAGTTTAATTAACAACAATTTATTATTAATTAATAAGTGACACTAATGACAGAACTAGAGCTTTCAAAAAAAGTGCAGCCGCACAAATAAAGTTACATGCAAAAAAATCCTAAAGCTGGCTAAATGAAAATCATTTATAACCACTCTGTATTTGTCAGACAAATTTTCATAACATAATTAGCATGCCTTAATAAATTTGCTAAATTGACAACTTTGACATGCCTCATCTTTTGTCTCTAGATATTACATTGTTGCCAATTGAATTTTAAAATAAGAAACCACTTTGATTGTAACTTTATTTTTATTTATTATTTGTGACCTATAATTACCTATAATTTTGAAAATAAATTGTTAACAATGAATAATAATAAAATGAAAGCGGGAATTGTTACACATTAAATAGAGTAGTAAAGTTATCGTGTAATCAACACAATCAGCCAACACAGAAAACAGTACAGTATTGTCACCATTGCTAATTTTATTGCCAATTGTGTGTAAATAGTTAAATTCCTTTTTAATGTGTGTAAAATAATAAAACAGAGAAAGAATTGAAATGGCCAAAATTACTTTACCCCGAGTTTTGTCACTTTGCGCGAATTTTCCCGACAAATATTTAAATTGAACCGTTGCTTGAACTAAACACAATGATTATCAACCGCAAACTGCATTTTTTATGAACTTCTTGAATGTAACTTAAAAAGGCTCCTTCCATGGCGCATTCTTGGTCAGAACAGGATTTCCTGCAGTACAAAAGCGTCCCTAGGAATAAAACATTTTAAAGTGAACCTACATTTGCATAATATTTGGTTTAAGTGATTCACGGGTGGGGACAATGTTAATGCAAATAAGCACATATCAATAATTTGAAGGTCGACATCTTCACGTGCAAATGTTTGATTTTATAGCCGTTTGTTACAACACACTAAAATGTTGTTTTGTCGTATTCGGGGATTCCCACAACTAGAATTGTATAAATAATATTGCTTTTGGGGTTATCTAAAAGGCAAAATTGTTGCCTGTCTAAGGGTAAAGGTGAAGAATGATATATTTTTCATCCCAATAACACAATTTCCTTCTGCTAAATTGTATAATTATCTTGTTGACCTTTTTCTAGCCATTGTAAATTTAATTTGCAATTCAAACTTTGTCATGTGCGTTTTGGGTTTTATTTACTTTTAAGGAAGCATTTTTACAGCCTGAATTAGTTGCTTGGCAAAAAACATTCTCAAAAACTCACTATAAACTCTTTTTCCTTTGGAATGCGAGTTTAGATTTAACGACCATTTTACAAGTGATAATAAAACAAAACATGACCTTGATTTTCATTTAACAATTATTTCCACGTTAGAATGTCGAGATGCATATTAATTTAATGATTAATTAGTATTATCAGCCACGTAAAACCACATCATAGTAAACGTTTGTGTTTATAAAGCTGCCTAACATATCGGTGATAGAACAGTTGAGCATAAAATCTCTTCTATTTGATTAATTAATTAAAAAGAAAAAAAAAACAGATAAATCAGGAATACACCATTAGCTATCAAAATTAATATATTTTATATTTTACAATCACTGGTGCGATTGTTAAAATTTGAAAAAAAAAATGTATTTCTCAGTATGAAAATTTTGAACACTAAAAACTTTTTTAGTTAATTCTATAAAAAAAATTAAACTTTTATAAAAATATTTGTGAATTATTGTTGTAAATAGTTGAAAAATACGTAAATCAGCTACGTATTTTACTCTTAAGTCATGAGCAATTAGCATGACCAGCTTTCTAAGAATTTGCTTTTTACGACAAAAATGTAAATTATTGGTTTTTCCACTTTTTAATAAATTTTAATCAGAGAAAAAAAAATGTCATTTAAATCACATACATACTTGCGCCCAATAATTTTAATAAAATTCTATTTGTAACAAATGAAAAAACAACAAAACTACCGTAAAGTTTCCAAAAAAATTAGATGAATAGATGTCAGAAAGGTATAGTCGAAGGTTAATGTCTTGGGAAATTCATTGGTAAACCTGTTCTTCATATTCTTGTTTATCACAAATGAATCGCAAACAAACCGTTATGGTTCTCCGAGAGTTAACGTTATTTCTCTCCTTATTCCTAACATGCGATACTTTACAATACGAAGGTAAATAAATTTCAATTAAACTCTAAGTTTCTTCTTATTATTTTCAGGTGAAAAATGTGTTGTTCCGACTTCAAATGAGAGTGGGGTCTGCATCAATGTCCACAATTGCGAATATGCAAGACAACTTTTAAAACAAGGTCGAAATCCTCAGTTTTGTGGGTTTAAAGGAAACGATGCTTTAGTTTGTTGTCCTGTTAATCAGCGAGTGATAACGAAACCTCCTGGTGAAAAAAGTCGGGAAAGTAATTAAATTCCTCCAAATGAAATACTTTTATTCGATAAAATTTGATTTCAGAATGTTCAAGACAATATGACAAGAAGTGGGTCTATTATGCGATAGATTTAGGCAAAAAAGCATTGTCGAAAGAATTTCCACATATGGTAAAAAAAGTAGCAAATTTTTTTTTGTTTTAAGTGTTTTTTTAGGCAGCAATTGGTTACGGTGACAATAAAGAAACCATCGTATGGTTATGTGGGGGAACTTTAATCAGCGAACAATTTATTCTAACAGCCGCTCATTGTCTCTTCTCGCGAGAATTGTTAGTATTTTTCGATTTTTTTCACTCAATTAAAAATTTTTTTTTAGTGGACCAGCCACTTGGGTGCGAATAGGAGACTTGGACCTCAAAAACGACACTGACGATGCTCAACCTGACGATCTCCGAATCATAAAAACTTTTGCACATCCCAAATACAGGTCCAGTTCTCACTACCACGACATTGCTTTAATCCAGTTAGAAAAAAACGTCACTTTTGGGAGTTATTACAAACCTGCGTGTTTACATACTGATATCTCTGTTCCTGTCACCCTTGAGGCGATTGGTTGGGGCAAAGTCGGGATTTTTGGTGACCCAAGTAGTCATTTGATGAAAGTGGGTTTGCAAGTGGTGGATTATCAAACGTGTGCAAAAAAATATTCAAATGTGCCGAAGACTAAACTGAGAGATGGTATTGTGGATGGGTTGCAGTTATGTGCAGGGGATGTTGTAGGGGGGGATACTTGTCCGGTAAGAACTGGTATTTGGGTTATTTTTGATGTTTGGTTGCTTTTAGGGTGATTCAGGTGGACCACTCCATTATAAATTGAATGACACGGAACAAATGGTCAAACATTTTGTTGTGGCTGGTATTACCTCGTTTGGTAAAGGATGTGGGGGAGAAAACAGCATTGGGGTCTATACCCGAGTGTCGGGGTACATTGACTGGATCGAAAGTGTTGTCTGGCCCTAGAAATTTTTTAATTTTATAAATTTTTTGAATAAAACTCAAAATAAAATTTATCTTCTTTATGATTTTTCATTGTTCCATCAATCTTCAATGTCATACTTGACTTTGATTCAAAGTTTTTATGCACATGCACTCATTTTATTAAAATTTTTGAAAATATTTGTTTGTATATTTGAACATTTTAAGAAAAATACAAACTTTTTGTGATTACACACGTCCGTGATAACAAAAGGTTACGCAATGCTTATAATAAATACTTAAAATTACCTATTGTCAAAGTTTAATACCTTGCATATAGACCTTATTTTTTTGTCTTATTCAAATTGGATTAGAAATAATTTGAAACCGTTATGATTCTCTCAGTACTAACGTTAATTTTCTCTTTATTTCTAACATGCACAACTTTACAATTTGAGGGTAAGTAGTTTCAGTTCATCTCGAAGTTTCTTCATGTTAATTATTTTCAGGTGACAAATGCATTGTTCCAACCACAAATGAGAGTGGGGTCTGCATTAATGTACACAATTGCGAATATGCAAAAAAACTTTTGAAACAAAGGATAGCTCCCAAATTTTGTGGTTTTAAAGGAAACACTTTTTTAGTTTGTTGTCCTGTTAATCAACGAGTAATGGCCAGGAATTTTGGAAGAAAAACTCGGCAGTGTAAGATAATTCCAATTTTTTATTGAGGAATAATACTTGAAATTTTATTTTAGATTGTTTAAGCAAGTACGAACATAAACGACAAGAATTGCCTTCGAACGAGGCACCTAAGCGGCGTTTGATAGAATTAGGAGAAAAAGCAGAATCGAAGGAATTCCCTCACATGGTAAGAAAGACAAAAAATTGTAAATTCGATGTAAACAAACCAAAATATGATATAATTTCATGATTGGTAGTAAATTTTTTCGGAATATTTTTTTTAATGTTTTGTTATCAAACGATTCCACTTTCTTATTCTGTTTTTTATTGTAGCTACATTTATTTTTAGGCAGCGATCGGTTATGGTGACAATATTAAAACCATCGTATGGTTATGTGGTGGAACTTTGATAAGCCAACAATTTATTCTAACAGCAGCTCATTGTCTCTTCTCGAAAGACTTGTTAATAATTTCCAATTTGTTTTCTCTCAATTAAAAAATATATATTTTAGCGGACCAGCCACTTGGGTGCGTTTAGGCGACTTGGARCTCAAAAATGACACTGACGATGCTCATCCTCTCGATCTTCAAATTATAAYCACTTTTGCCCATCCGAAATACAGGTCCAGTTCTGACTACCACGACATTGCTTTAATCGAAGTAGAATCAAGGGTTTTTTTCGAAGGTTACTCCGATCCTGCGTGTTTGCAAACTGAAATTTCTATTCCTGCAACACTTGAGGCTATTGGATGGGGCAAAGTCGAGTATTTTGGTGAGCAAAGCAGCCACCTTTTGAAAGTCGGTTTGAAAGAAGTGGGTTATCAAAAGTGTGCAAAACGATATTCAACTGTGTCAAAAAGAAAACTGAAAGATGGTATTGTGGATGAGCTGCAGTTATGTGCAGGAGATGCTAGGGGAGGAGATACTTGTCCGGTAAGAATCGATATTTAAGTATTTTTATAATGTTTGTTTGCTTTTTAGGGTGATTCGGGAGGACCACTCCATTATTTAGTCAGTGAAACAGAACAAATCAAAAAACACTTTGTTGTAGTTGGTATTACCTCGTTTGGTAAAGGATGTGGGGGAGAAAACAGCATTGGGGTCTATACCCGAGTGTCGGCGTACATTGACTGGATCGAAAGTGTTGTCTGGCCATAGCATTTTTTTTTTAATTTTTTAAACTTAAAATAAAACTTTTCTTCTTTATGATTTTTTATTGTTTCAATTATCATCATTGTCATACTTGAACTTAATTGACAGTTTTTATGCACATGCAGTCTGTTTCAATTTCAGAAAGCCCTTAAAATTTCTAATTGAAACACTAATTCCAACCGATGACGGCTTTTAGACCCGAACCAGAACAACAACAGTTCATCAACCGGCCGCGAAAGCCTTAACCAATTTATGAAACACTTTGTTTGAAAAAATTTTGTGCAATTTTGTACTTTTATGTTGATGAACATTTCTTGATTTAAACATTTTATTAAAAGGAGTCTTAGTTAAAATATTTGTTCTTATATTTAAACAATTTAAGAAAAATACAATTTATTTACAGACTTTTTGTGATTACATACGTCCGTGATAACAAAAGGTTACGCATTGCATAATAAATACTTAAAAGTACCTATTGTCAAGTTTAATACCTTGTATATTTTTTTGTCTTATTGTAACTGGACTAGAAATAACTTGAAACCGTTATGGTTCTCTCAGTGCGAACGTTAATTTTCTCTTTCTTTCTAACATGCACAACTTTACCATTTGAGGGTAAGTAGTTTCAGTTCATCTCCAAGTTTCTTCATGTTAATTATTTTCAGGTGATAAAAACATTGTTCCAACCACTAAAGAGTGTGGGGTCTGCATTAAAGTAAATTGCGAATATGCAAAAGAAGTTTTAAAAGAAACGATAAATCCGGAATTTTCTAGTTTTAAAGAAAACACTGTTATAGTTTGTTGTCCTGTTAATCAACGAGTAATGACCAAGAGTTTTGGAAGAAAAACTCGGCAATGTAAGATAATTCCAATTTTTTATTGAGGAATAATACTTGAAATTTTATTTTAGATTGTTTAAGCAAGTACGAACATAAACGGCAAGAATTGCCTTCGAACATGGCGCCTAGGCGGCGTTTGATAGAATTAGGAAAAAAAGCAAAAGCGAAGGAATTCCCTCACATGGTAAGAAAGATGTGCATTTTCAGTATAACATATAAATACTAAATTTTATGTAAACAAACCAAAATAATGTAAATTATGATATAACTTCATGATTGGTAGTAAATTTTTTCCCAAAAATTGTTTTAATGTTTTGCTATCAACGATTCTACTTTTTTATTCTATTTTTTATTGTAGCCACATTTATTTTTAGGCAGCAATCGGTTATGGTGACAATAATAAAAACATCGTTTGGTTATGTGGCGGAACTTTGATAAGCCAACAATTTATTCTAACAGCAGCTCATTGTCTCTTCTCGAAAGACTTGTTAATAATTTCCAATTTGTTTTCTCTCAATTA